ACCTTTATCTACGAAAATTTAACAGTATCGATACATCTAATACGCAAACCTCCGTGCAAAATTTCAGAAATTTTCGACAAAGGGCACGGGAGTTATTAAGCTTCATATTGGATAAAGAGAATCGTGCCCCCGCGTACTAACATCCATTTATACATACAGAAAACCCCCAAACAGTTGTGAAAGTAAATTAATATTGCATGTTTATCTTGCAGGCATTAAAAAAGGCTTTTTGACTAGCTGGAGGCTAAGCTATGACGTATAACAGGCCCATCCTCTCCAACAATGTGAGGCTTATAAGAAGAGTGGTTAAAGTACGAAGCAACACACGGCACAGTAGCAACAATTGAAACTATTAAAGAATAGGTGTAAAACGAAGAATACAGCTGTTACTAACAGTTGTACGGGATCGATAGCTACAGCAATTATAGGTGTAACAAAGCATTAAACTCGATGTGTACGTACCTTACGGGTTACCCTGTACACAAGAAGACATTACGATTACAAACTACAGGGTGATTCAAAAAGTATATTAACAGCAGCAGGGTGTATTAGGGCTCTACTTTTTTTATTTTCTGAGAAATGCACAATGGGTTATGTCACTACAAGTGACATAACCCATTGTGTTATGTCACTACAAGTGTGGAATATCAAGTTACTTCCATTGTTTTAACATAGAAACAAGTACAAACGTTAAGCTGTTCTTTGTATCAATTTTTTGGCAAAATAATTGGGCTGAAATTCTTAAATTGCAGACCTGTACACTCCCACCGTCTGTCTGCCTGTCCTTAACTATATACGAACTTTCGACCAGGACCGGAAGTCACGTCATTTTTTTTTAAACTTAAAAATTTCACGTTACAGTTACATCGCTAATTTCTTTATCATGAGAGCATCTCGTGTTGTTAAATACTAGAAAAGAAAGAATGAAGGAGGAAGTTGTATACTGCTTTTAAGTATAAAATAATGACACATTTCTTTAAAAATAAACAATACTTTTTTTATTATTAGTCTCCAAAACTACATATTTTCTCAGCGTAAACAATAAGCTCCCTTCAAACTTTTGCCAAGTTTCCTTTATATTTTCTCGTATATATTCTTTCCTAAAATTGAAGAAACTTTTACAGATCTTCCAGCAAAATTATCAAGCTTGAACGGTTCCTTCTAACCATTTTTTTTTCTACCCCACGAACGTGCTTATTAATTTCCCTAACAAGAAAGCAATCTTTTTAATTCATTCCAATTGTATATTTTTAACAAGAAAAAGAAAAAGAAAACAAACAGAAAGCAGAAAGAATTTCGTATATAGAAAAAGGGAAGGAAGTTAGAAAACTCGTTTATATCAAAGCCTTCTACTCCCTTTTCCATTCCACATCCCAAGAGAAATAGGAAAATGTTTGCTTCACTATAAATATTGAAGAATAATACTTTCATTTTCAGAATGAAGAAGAAAAAAAAAAAGGTAGGGAGGAGAAGAAGAGGGAAAGGAACGAAATTTTTGCTGAACCAATACAGAAAAAAAATATATAATATTTAGCAAACATTTCCTTCCTTTGCATTCTACAGAAATTGTCAATACAACCCCCTTTTTTCTTTTCGTTATTCTAACAGCAGGTGAATATTTAAAGGATTTTATTTTCAGTTTATAGTAACTACCAAACTCTCTCTCTCTCTCTCTCCAATCCTTGCACAACTAGTTTTATCTATCCGGAGTATTTTTATAACAAATAGAAACGAGTCATTGCTCATAGAGAAGAGAGAACAAATCTTTCCAAAGTAATACTTTATTCTGAAATTCAATTGAGTAAAAGTATAAAGGAAAATATGAAATTTTTCTATATGAAAACACGGGGTAAAGGAAAGAAAAAACTTTAATAACAAACGTTCTGTTACACTTTATATTTACACAAGAACGTTTTTTGATAGGTAAAATGAGAATGAAATTACATTAATTGTTTAGAAAACGTAATTTCTTCAGAGCTTGATCTATCCAAGAACTTTGTTTTCCTCTTGTTGTAGAGAGAACAATGGGCGAATATGATTCTTTTATCGTTCTTTGAAAACAAAATCCGGTTATATTTCAGCAAATATGTACCTTTTTTTTGCCCCCTTTTAAAAATATGACGTCCTTTTTGTACGGGCTTCGACACGGGAAGAAAGGAGAAGTCAATTATTTTCTTCCTTCTTTCGTTTTTATTTATCTTGTTAGAGATGAAAGGATTACTTTAGTCGAGTCACTTGCCGACTGCTGAAATCAAGATTGACAAGAAAGAAAAAAAAAAAAAAACAGACAGCGAAGTGATACAATTGTTAATTTCCGTACAGAAAGTAAATATGCACCAGAGGGGGTGAGCCAGAAGTCGGTTAACGTTGGCAGGAACGTGATATAAGACACAACTGAACGTGCTGATCCAGTGTAACTGGGATGAATACAGGGGGTGCACTTTGTAATTCGGGTCTTCCCCTAATATCGCTTTTAGTTACGTCACTGGTCCTTAATTAGAGACGAAACAAACACTTCTCTACGGGGGTAAAGTATAATTTAAATACTGTAATGACAAATAACAAAATACAGTCGCAAATAGAAGACAGTAATATATTATTTATGTCTTCGCCTTTCACGCCACGTGAACAACAAAGGGTGTATCTAAATGACAAGAAAGACAAGTAAGCGAGACAACGAAATAGTTTGTTTTATATGAAACGAACTGTGTCATTGGCTGATTTACTTGCCTGCTTGTCACCTCGATGCACCCAAAAAGTCAAACGAGGTGTCGACCTTTCTCTTGAAGCTCCCACGAATTCGGAAGGACCCTAAAAACAATAACAACAACAAAAAAGAGGGACAAGACAAACACACTAAGGATTTATTTCTGTGTATTGTCTTCTATACGTGAATATAAACGCAGTTTATAAAGGAAACAATACGATTAATGACATCACCTCCGTGTTCCCACGCGACACGTGGAGTCTTTTGTTTTGATTTTTCATTGTTGCCGTGGTGGCCACGTGAAATAAGGTAGCGAGGGAGGGAGATTGGGTGTGAGGACGATTCATTAGAGTCCGTGTTTGGGACCTGTGTGACAATTATATTAATTTCTTGAAAGCGCTTTGACTGGTGAAGTGACTCCACATTACAATTGGATAAGCAGGCCAATGAACCACGAACGACACGTCCATTGAGGAGAAAACAGAAAAAAATACGGCCGTTGTTCTGAGGTCATTCAAAAGAAACGGGCCCGAGATAAATGGCCGCCGTTTACAGGTGGCCGCTGTCGGAGGTTCGACTATATGATTATTAAATCCTGCATACAACGGCCACTTTTTACGTTCCCGTAAGTGGCCGTTGTTAACAGGTTTGGACCGTAAATATTCTTAATTTTAATGTCAAATGTTTACTGTTGTAGAAGTTATAAGAATTTAATAGCCTTTACAATTGTAAAATCAATTATCGTCGAATTAATCTTTATATTAGGAGGATGAGGTAGAAAAAGGGAGGATATTTTAAAATTTATTTTTACTTTGAAGACGTTAGAGGAGGCCATTTTAAGAATGACTAAAGCAATTGTTTGTGAATGTTTTATTCAACTAGTGCACTTAAAGAGGGGGGACGTTATTGTTAAAGTAAACAAAGTGTTGTTATTCAGATAAAATGTTTTCTTATAGTCAAAATATGCTAATGAAGCATTTATATGCATTGCTTTCTATTATCAATATCACATCAACCGAATAAAAGAGCAGTGTCAGAACTTTTTTGGTTATTCCATGCATTTCTGTGGTTTTTTTTTGATCTTATCAAAAAATGTAAAAAAGAAAAACAGGTTTGGTAACAGTATCGAGGGATTATATACCATAAAAACTGAGCTAGAAGTGTGCAGTTGTTTAGGTGTAGGTGTACATATAGCTGTTTGTGTACAGGTTGTTTATGTAGGTATTGAGGTTGTGCAGATTTACATATAAGTGTTTATGTATTTGTATAGTTTGGCAGATTGTACAGGTGTTTAGGTTTATAGGTTGTGTACGTAGGTGTTTAGGTTGTAAGCTAAGCACGTAGGTGCTAGGTGTGTAGGAGTATTATGTGTTTGTATGTAAGTGCTTTTACATATAAGTGTTTATGTGTTTGTGTGTTTGTATAGTTTGGCAGATTGTACAGGTGTTTAGGTTCATAGGTTGTGTACGTAGGTGTTTAGGTTTATAGGTTGTGTATGTAGGTGTTTAGGTTGTAAGCTAAGCATGTAGGTACTAGGTGTGTAGGAGTATTATGTGTTTGTATGTAAGTCCTTTTATAGACTGAACACGTTCATTTAACAATTTTTTTATGATGTAAACCGTGAGACGAATTAAATTAAAAGAGAAAATTGTTTTTAAAAGTATACCAAATTGTTTTCTTTTTTTCTAATCTTAATTTTAAACTTTTCAACTGACTAACTTCAACAAAAATTTCTGTTTAAACTATTTTATTTTTTTTTTAATAATTAAGATAATGAAAAAGTTTATTAACGATTCCACATAAAGATAATAGACTTGGAAATAATGCAACAGAAACAATTTGATACACAAAACTTTTCTCTTCCTCCCCTAAATTGACTTATATCATTATAATTATTTTAACAGACGAAATCTTTAATAGGCAATCAAATTTTAATTATATTTAAAATATATCGATTTGTTAAATTGAATCTTTTCTTATGTAAGAAAGGATGAGGAAGATGCTGGATAAGAAACACAACATTGTTTTCTTGTATCTATTTCTGAGTTTTGTCATGTTTTATTGTCAAGAAACTGGCAAAACAATATACACATGACAGCTTTCGATCGAAAACTTTGTGATTCTTGTTTATATTAATATTGTGATAGCGATACACGAGAATTCGTGTCACATCTAACATACACCACTCCAGTTTCTTCCTGTAAATATCAATATGTTGCTCCGGAATGGAGCAATATACTAAACACTGTATCAATATTTTCGTATTGTTTTAATAAATTACTTTCAATTGCAGAAAATTACGACGATGACGATGAAGATGACGAGGATGATGAGAACGTCGAGCAGCTACCAAAACCAGAAGTACTGAAAGCAAAGATGTTTAACGACAAAGATAGGTAAAGTACCCATTTTATCAGCTTCATTTCAAGTGTTGCACCCCCCCGCCTTTGATTTTATTCGGATAACATATTTATCTAAGTTCTGTTCTTATGTATTGTGTGATATATAGGGTCAGTGGCGTGGGGAATGATGTATGGCACAATTTCGAACCTTATATATATCATACGGTTCGATACCAATCATGTAATAGAATTGTATACAGTAAAACCTGTCCAAAACGGAACCTGTCTAAACGGGTACAGTACCATTCCGATTTACACAGTTTTTGCTGTAAATTCTTTACCTTATTTCATGAATTTTCTTGAAATTTTCTAACTTAATCACCCGAAAACCTGCCAACCTTATCCAGTTCACACGACATTAAAAGTGAAGCGGATAAAAGACACTGTGTAATACGGACATAAATACTTACTTGAATAGCTTGAAGTAAGAAAATAGATTTATGTATTTATAATATTTACTCGGGTAAATATTATAAATACATAAACACTTGGCATTAGTCTCGAATGACATAACGTCTTTTATCATCATCACTCCCTTGATACACTACAAATCATTTATTGTTTACCCGAACAAACATCTTAAAAATGCTATTTACTACGTTATTTACTACGTACCATTATTTCTAACACAAGAGCTCACCAGAACCCGAGTGAATAAATAAAAGCGCCGAACACAAGTCGCGGGTTCGCACCTGTTTGCTAGATATTTTCGTGTTTTATTCACGTGTCTAACACCTAAATAGGTGCCAGTTTTCACGTATAAAGTCTACCTTCCTTGGCAGATCGCCCATGCGTTTCTTTTGCCTTATCCAATCCATCCATCCACGAACTTGCCCTTCATGAAACGTCCATATTACCATGGACGTTTCATGAAGGGCCATTGACATTTTATGCTGCAGGTTGCATTTATTTCATTCTAACTTTTCCTCATCTGATAACTGCGAGGAGGGAAAGAAGAAAAACTAACTCCAAACCAAGACCACAAAACAGATCGTCTCATGCTCGCCACGTGCCTTACTGATGATAAATCATACTTTGTCGGTGATCATCGCCGACTTCGCCCTTTTCCTCGCCATTTTAAGCTGATTTTTATTGGTGAATATGCAATAATTTTTTTTAAAAATTATTGCATCCTGAAAGCTTAATTTCCATTCTCACCAGGCGACTTTCATTGGCACCGGCAATCTATTCAGTTCTGTGATTCCTCAACGATAACTACCAAAAACTTTACACATAATTTCTCACTCGTCTCACATCCCACCATCCAGTTCAACATTCATCACTGCTCGTGCGTTCTCTCGACCTCCATTACCAATACGCTACGTTTCGATGTGACGAGCATTAACTTGGAATGGCTGGAAAATGATCTGTTCTGACCGGAAATAATTCATTTTTTTGGAATCTTTAGCAGTAAAATATTGCACAATTGTGTGACTTGTGAAGTAAAATTTACGGGTAATAATGCAGAAGATTGATGTAGATGCTACGTACAGACATTCAGACAGATCCTTCGTCGAAGTAACGAGTCCTAATTATGTAAATTAATCTTGAGCCAAGGCTCAAGAATCTTCTTCCACCATCACAAAGTATTCGGGTTTGTTCTGGGAATCGATTGCGACCGAACCTCCGAACAACGGACACTGACGGAAATATAAAAAAATGGTCGTTGTTTGAAGGTGGCCGTCCGTTGGAGTTTATCTGATGGGTGAGCGATTTGAAATTATGTAAATTAACCGTGTGCCAACGCTTCTTCCACTACAAAATCGATTGTAGCCGAACCTGTTAACAACGGACACTGTCGTAAACATAAAAATTAACAGTTGTTTGGGAGTTTGTTTTGTATTAATTTCAAAAAGAAACATTTTCGAAAAAAATGGCCGCCGTTTAAAGGTGGCCGTCATAGGAGGTTGGACTACTGTACTTAAAAATATCTGAATATTTGTTTCGAATAAAATAATCCTTTAAAAGTAGTATAAAATATGGAAATTTTAATAATTCGATACGAACTAAAAACAAGAAACTGCAAGTGTGAGAGTGGCTCGAGCCATATTTGGCCAAATATTTTCTAAAATTCTATACCAAATTTTAAAATTCTAGTGTAATTTTATTTCCGAACACGTCTACCTAGAATTTTCTTAGCAAATTCTCTAAACTACGCCCCAAACGTGTACAAATAGTACTTTTCTAAACTACAAGTAGACGAGGATTTTCTCGTATTCCAAGCCTTCCTACCGTCACACCCCCGTTTCTAAATTAAAAATCGAGTCGGATACGTAACGTAACAATAGAAGCAATTGGCAAAAACGCTTTTGATTCGAGTTTAATTTGTTTCTCCTCCCCCACGTTTAAGGGGCGAATATGGAAGACAGGGGGGATGTAAACGGATGATAGCTCATCCATACAGCAATCAATATTTTCGAATTTCTCGAATGGAATGGCTTATTCGCTTCAAAGAGTGTGTGTGTTTGGGACACGCTTGATCGATAAGATGCATCTCATCTTCTTCCCCCGCTTTTACGCAGCGTGCACCCTCTCCGCGACCACGTGACCACTTAGAGGGGGAAACGAGTATAAGTGTCCCGATTGTGTAAATCCAATACAGACGTGTGTTCGCTCGGCAAGATTGTGTTACTTTACACCGGTTACGTTCGAAGCGAGCGCGGAAATTCGCGGAAAAATTGAATTTTTAACAGATAAAAAAAACAACTGCACCCCTACAACAATGGAGTGCCAGGTGTGTGGTTAAGTTAATCGACAATTAAAAGATTAAGAAGCTAACAACGATTAAGCACGCCTTTTCTGTAAAAAGAGACGTTAATTAACTGTAGGGTGGTCCGAAAGTTAGCTAACCGTGCGTGCCCGTCCATCACCATCAGACCGAATCCATAATGGGCTTGCAAAGGAGCCCTCTTAGTGCCTATAGGGCGGGAAGAGTTTATATTAAAAACAGCACTCGTAATTCGAGTAAGGCAGGAATCTGATCTCGTAATGGTTATCTGATTTTTGGGCCACCCTGCAAGAGGTCCCGATTTTGTCAAGAACGGGGCAAAAAGCTATGGAACGAATTAAATTAATTAAAAGTACAAAATATTGGAAATGGTCAGCATTCAGAAGAGCCCCGAAGAGGCCAAAATTTCAAGCTTTGCTGCTGGTTTGCGGGAATTTCGATCCAAAATGGCTACCGACTCAAAGTGACAATACTTTAATTGATCAACAAGTTGCTCATGTACTCAAGAACTCTTCACTGTAACGAGAAAGTGTTGTAGAAAATGAAAATCGGAGTATGAAATCTGGAATAAGTGAGTGTATAGTACAAAGACAAGAGGATTTATTAAAGAATCATACACTTTGCCCTTGTTACCCTGTAGAGTTACAGTAAACAAGAACGAAACAATTGTTTCCTGTAATTTTAGAAAGCAGATCTTTTCTGTATCTAATCCAGTAACTTAGAAGATTGAATATAAATTGAAATAATTAGAAGAAAATGGGGTAATGTTTTCACGAGCCACAATTGTACCCAATAATGTCGTCGAGGAATGTAAATAGTGGCCCAGTTTTTGAAGATTTTCTTCAATCACGGTTAACTAACTTTTGGACCCCATATCGTATATTTATTACTAATTTTTTTAGGGTAAGATTGGCTAGCTAAGTTAGGAATCCCAATTTATGCATACCCTTGTATATGCATGCCCTGAACACGATGCCCTTCGAATTAACATAAGAATCTGATTGTCCTTTAGGAAAATAAACTAAGAATGCCAATAAACTAGGGGATGGACGAGTGGAAAAGTTTCAGATATGATGAGATTTGGAGAGGAAAAAAAAAAGATGAGGATGGAAAGAATGATGGATGCACAGGAACCCGTACGAAGAAGCAGAACAATAACAATAATAGAACAAACTTTAATTTGATAATTGATGCAGTCAGTATAAGAGAACAAGAAAAGATATTTATCTTATATAAAAACAGAAGAATAAACTAGACAAGTAGGGAAAAAATATCCAATAAATTTCGCTGGAAGCCTAAGAAAACTATGGTGCATCTTTCCATCTGTCAACTTGGAAAATTTGAAGAATTTTAAATCGAGGAAAACAAACATTTTTAAGAAATTAAAATACTAAGGGAATAAAAGATAATTTAAAATTTATGATACACATTGTAGTTTTATTTTAGAAAGCTTTTCTTAATAATAGCTGTGTTTTGTATGTGCACGCTCCGCAACATTGATCTTAACACGCAGTTATTGAAACAACTCCAGAGGTGAAATTTGCAAGATGTTGCACGTATGTAAATGAAGAAAGACACTTTTAAAAGTTCGTTAATTTCTTAAATATCTTCGAGTCACGCTACGCACATTAAGAATTCGTTATGGAAAAGGCAAGGATGCTCTTTACAGAAACAAGTTACGACTGCTTAATTTAAATATCTTGTGTTGGATACAAGATGGCACCCACTGAACCAAATTGTGGGCTCACAAAATACGGAATTAGTTCTAAATTATTCTATGCTCTTTTAAGTGAGAGCCCCCGTGATAACGTGTAGATTGCACACCTCTTGGTACCTTGAACAGTGCGTTTATAGATTAAAAAAATGATATTTTCTTCTAAATTTTCATAGTATTTTTTTGTGTATCTTTCTAGATATTTCTTTATTCAAGACAACCTTTATGATATCTACGACAATACTAAACAGAAGAGGAACAAGATGCAACTTCAATCGACATCTTCGATGCGTTTGCAGCTTCCGAATACGGACACTTACGTACAGAGCACTGTACCAATGTCCGAATCTTCTTCTGATATACTACAGCCCATGAACACTGTGACAGTTACGACACCACCCAGCCAGAGGAGCACGAAAACGTGCGATATCCAATGCGAAAATGGTGGTGCTTGCATTTTGCATCCCGAAACGGAAGTGGCTAGGTGCAGGTGCCCATTAGGAAAAGAAGGAGAACGTTGTGAAAAAGGTATTTAAATGTATGTTTACTGATGAATTAGAAGGCTTTAAGTAATTATTATTTTTTTTTAAATTAGAGGTTTTGTGTGTTAATAAATGCTCAAAATTGATTTTTGAAGTATTATCTCCGTGCCGTTTGCTAATTTTTCTTTCTTAAAGCGTCATGTCTTGATGCGAAAATCCAAGACAAAAGAAAAAATGTAAATGGACAAGTGTCAAAGTTCTCAACTTTACGTTTCGTTAATTTTTAGAAAAATTAATTCTCCAAGACAGGAAAGATTAATAACTGTGTTAATGATCTTTGTCTTAATTAAAATTTAATATTTCAGATATTATCCTTGTTGCATATCATCCTCTTTACTTTCTCGAGGTACCCCCTTCTTCATCTTCGATAGCAAAACTAATTATTTAGAGATAATGGCTAACAAGAATGCTATATTAATTAACACGTCCAAGTTTCTTATCCTTTAGCATCATTATTATTAATTACAAATCAGTTTTTAATTATTTTTACGTCGTACAGATGCTAAATTCCATCAACCCAAATTCCACACGCAGTCCTACTTGACGTTCCCCAGATTATACAATGCAGAGAAGTCCATACTAATCATCTTGGAGTTCCATCCGGAGTCTTACAATGGAATATTATTGTACAGCGGGCAGGAAACTCACTCTAAAGGAGATTTTATGGCAATTGTATTGAATAATGGATTTGTGGAGTTCAGGTAGCCATTTTGAGAACTCTTTAACCCATTGTATAGAAAGTTGTACAGCTCACTTTTATTTTCTAAGATTCGATTGTGGAAGAGGAGAAGGTGTGGTGCAGAGCAATCAACCCGTTATCCTCCATTCATGGAATAAATTAACTCTGTATAGAGATAAATGGGATGCTTGGATGCAGTTAAACAATGGTAAACAGATACACGGACAATCACAGGTATGTATTGTGTATAAATACTGTACGTAAATCTATGTCCAATCAAACGTGTTGCTCGTGTATTTTAGGGGCTGTACTCAAAGATTTCTTTTGAAGAAAACTTGTATTTGGGTGGATATTCCAACATCAGTTCCATATCTAAGCGTTTATCCACCAATATTGGATTTCACGGATGCGTTAGATACATGAAAATTAACGACAAAGTTTACAACTTCGAATTGAATAAGGAAGGAGACATCATCGACGGTTTAGATGTGGGTAAGGAACATTTTTAAGACATCTTTTTCTCTGTTTATATTGATTTTATCATTCTGCATCACCGGCATTTTCAAAATATGGCGAAGAACCATCATTTGACATAGCTTCTAGACTGCAATATCATGCTAATCCCGTAAATAGCTGTGTTTAGATGACAATTTTACTTTCAAAATAGGAAGTTTTATGCTGTTGAATTTAGTTATATTGCAGTTTTAGTTTGAAACATTCATATATTACTAGAGACAGTACAGATGAGTTGAATATATTATGGTCTTAAAGACAAATTTCAAGACGACACACACTTTTTAGTGTTTTTACAGTCAAGTGATATAAAATTTCGTTATGAAGATTTAAATATATAGTGTTATTAAACAAATTAATTAAATAAAAACATAGTTAAGAAGTATGTATACAGAGAACTCCATTTTTTCAACTCTCATTTATAAAGATATGCCACTGATTTGACCTAAGCGATGGCATATTAATATTAAGCGATAATTATATATATATATATTTTTTAGAAATTTTCTATTGAAATTTTGATAAAATGATATGAAAATAACTGGAAAAACAGGAAAACTAAATACTTAGTTATTCTTGCAGCATGTTTTTCCATTTTTGGATCTCCACTATCCATATTTTTACAATTCATCAGACCCACAATGGACTAGTCACACAGAGTTTTCCAGGTTCTCTCCACGCCTGTAACGCCTAAATAGAGGCCAGTTACCCTTAAAAGGCCTCCCCGAAGGCATTATTCCCCCCCCGAACGACCATCATAAGCGCATTACATACCAATTACACGGGCGATATAGCCTAGAAGCTCATGCCCAACTAGACGATACAAGACAAGGCCCACAATGAGAGGCCATGAAAAATTCCTAGTAGTTGCTCGCCCGGATCCTCCACAGCCATAGTATTTAACTAAAAACAATCAGCTTCCAATAAATAATAATGAAATTTTACAATGTTCTCCTACACAGATGCATTGTTTAGTTAAGATATTAGAAAGCCAGAAAAGAAAGGATACTACAGTAGAGCGTCGATTATCCGAATCAATTGGGGACTGGGGTTGTTCGGAAGATCGATGTTTCGGATAACCGATTATGCATGAAAAAATATATTAATTAACCAATCTTACATTTTTCTCTGTTGTGTGTCGCTTTGCGTTATATTTTCGTCGATGTTAAGCCTAAGGAAGACTATTGTATCGTTAAAAATTATTTTTTTATTTTGTACGAACAAAATAAATATATTGAAAAATATAAAAACAATAAAAAATTATACTTCAGAAGTTAATTTAGTATCAAAAACGTAAAATATTTGAGTAGCCAAAGACTGCAGCGCCACAGCACTGGCGAAAATTTAAATTCGCCGATTGTAATTCTTTCGGATAATCGATGCTCTACTGTATTCATTTTTCTTTGGTATTTTTTTCTTTTAATCGCAAGAAAACATTTATTTTTACACAGGGTAAAGTATTAAAAAATACATTTTTAATAAGATAAAGAAGAAAAGATTTCACTTGACGTCATTTTAAATTATTTAACCTTGCCAAGATTACGTTTGGATCTTTTAATATTTAAAATTCTTGTTTCGTTTCTCGACCGAGATCAAACTCGAAAGAATGGAAAAAACAACAACAACAACAAGATTTCTTATTTTAATAATCTATAGATAGTACTTGACATTCTACAAATTTGAACATTTCTGTAGGTATATGTTTGCATTTGAATACCGGATATGACAATTAATGGCAATGTGCACCTCAGAAGAAATTGAGGTGGCCTCAAGTGCTACTTTTCAACTTTAACAAAATTAATCGTGTAAGTGAAATCTTTTCTATTCATTTTTATATAAAATTTACTTTTATAAATGCGTTAAATATGTTATATTTTTAAATAAATTACGTTATAAACCGAAAATTCGCAATGTAAAGATGTCATTGTCTTTTGTCTCTTGCAGAGGAGTGCAACATCGACGGTTGCAGCCAAATCACGTGTCTGAACGGGGGTAAATGCGTCGCAACCACCCCCGAAGAGGGCGTCTGCGTATGCGCTCTCGGTTATACGGGCGATATCTGCGAAACTGGTAAGCATAACCGGCTTCAGGGTGGAGACCAAACCTGCGCGTTATACTCCGGTTTTCTCTCTTTCTAGCTATAGAAGTTATGGTTCCTTTCTTCAATAATTCTTTCTTGCAATATGATGGCTTGTACGACACCGCTACTTCATTCCTAGAGATGAAAATAGTGTTTAAACCATATAACTTAAATGGTGTTATCTTCTACAATGGCAACAAGTTGGATGGCACTGGTGATTTCGTATCTATTAACTTAGTCGATGGTTACGTCGAATTCAGGTTTAATTTAGGCACAGGACCGCTTGTTACTAGGTACGTATGATTAGATTAAGAACTTTTAAACGTAAAAATGTTCAAATTTAAAACGTTTCCTACAGGAGTAGAGAGCCCATTACGCTTATGGATTGGCACATCATCTTCGTTACAAGAACCGGAAGGTTGGGCACTCTACAAGTAGATCAGCAGCAAACTATCACAGCATTATCACCCGGAGCCTTTACCCAACTGACATTATCCCTTAGCATGTTTCTTGGAGGGATACCGAATCTTTTACGTGTGTCTCAGTTGGCTGGCATCACGACGTCTTTTACGGGTTGCATTCAAAAGGTAAGGTGTATTTGCAAGCTTTGCAGGACTGTCAAATAAGCTGTTTGCAATAAAATTCCTTCCTGTTTTCAGCTCGTAATAAATAAACGTCAGATAAAACTATTGGAGCACGCGTTAGGTGGAAGAAACGTTGCTAACTGTCAGCACCCTTGCTTAGAAAGACCATGTTATAATGGCGGAAGCTGCCAACCGAGTGGAGACTTTTATATGTGCCACTGTCGTCTAGGTTATTCAGGCAATAATTGTCAAAAAGGTATGCGTAAAGTCACCTACCAAAGTAGTTTATCGATTTTCGAAACTGATCACAGGATAAATTCTTACAGAAGTATCAGAAATGATTGCAGAACCAATGTTCACAGGCAACAGCTACCTTCACTACACGCAAAAGGACATAATTAAGAGGCGAGTTCTGTTTCTCAAATTAAAAAAAAAATTAAATTAAGTAATTCAGGCCATGTTTTTTCTTTATAGAATACGTGGTTTCAAGACTGATCTCTCCTTACAATTCAAATCATTAGATTCGAATGGAGTGATATTATGGATCGGCAAAATGGAGAAGGAATCGAGTGATTATCTCGTAATAGGGATATCAAGAGGTTATTTGCAGTTAGAATATAATTTAGGATCGGGAGCAGCTGTCATTGTTAACAATTATACAAGGGTAGATGATGGAAAGTGGCATCAATTGCGAGTGCACAGGTAATTTTTTGTAAGTGATCTTGAGTGGTTTGTTGCTAAAACGAGCTTTTATGGTGTGGTAGAATTAAAAACTAAGAAAAGTTCTCCACAGAAGTGAATTATTCTTATATATACAGCACAACTTTGACCTTAAACGTACAACGTGGAGGTTCAATTAAAGAGGGAGTGAAAATGGCAATTTTCCTAACTCTTCCAGCCAGGAAAATGGTAGAGTAGTATTTAATAAAGAAGAAAAGAATAATGTTAGCAGAGAAAGATAAATTTATCTTTCAGATTAGAATTACTGTTTGTAACAAGGACTATTATTTTACTAAATTTCTCTTGATAAAAAACAATATATTTAGTTTGGTAGTGGCTCATCCCTTAAGTGGCATTCAAATTCGATGAGTTGGAATGATGCCAATTCAATAATAATATCAAAAATAGCATTTTTTTTCCTCCTTTATTTTTGGATAATTTTTCTTTTAGTGGAAGGAATGAATTTATTTCGATATTTTTTAGGGAAAGAATTTACATAAAAACCAAGATTTTCTTGAATATAAATTCAAAATTTTCTTTACAGGAAGATAATAATNCATTGGCAACTAGCAGCTGTCCGTTTTAAGTCAGTGCAATGCTTGCAGGAACTTGATTGCTTGCTCGTGTGGAGGTTTGCCGCAGCAGACAAGTGCGCACGCACAACATCATTCAAAGCATTTAACATGGCCGGATTATATCGAAAGCTTGCAGTACCCAATCAGCATACATGTATTGTATACAGGAGGCAAGTGAGAGAACGAATATTAAACTGGAAAATTAGCATCAGAGCATCAATGTATTTTATATTCACAAGTGAGCAAACAAGCAAATAGCTTACAATATATATAAATCCCTTTTTTTTCTATCTAATATACATGAATAACTTTTTGGCATTCGAAAATAACTAAATAAATTAAGCCAAAAAAGTGAATTTAAAATGGAGAAGAGAAAGAAAAATCAAGAATAACCTAAGTAATTTGATGCTGTGAAGTGTCCCATTTGGAGAAATATTTCTAGGTCAAGTCGATAAATCCTATAAAGTATCAGGAACTCAAGTTTGTACTTAGAGAATTGTACAAGTAGTTGCATTCATCTTAGTCGCCAGAGTACTGGTCGTTGAATAAAGTTTATTCGTAATGGCCACTGTACGAGATGTTTTGCATGTTCGATGAGACTGTATTGATCTGAAAGCTTTTGTGATTTTCACAGACGTGGGTTTGATCTAAAGTGCATTAGAAGATGCAATCAATTTTTGGATATTTGCGCCAAAATAGCTGGAGACCAGACTTGAATTCTTAATCTCTAAATTTATTTTTCTTTATTAAATCATATTTTAGTGGTAAAAAAGTGTTTTAAATCCTGTTTATCTTTTCAGAATCCACCATCATCTAACTGTAAGAAAGGATGATAGAAGTTGGGTGATGCTGGATTTATCTTCGAGCATCACCCAACTTCTATCATCTTCCCTTATAATTAACGATGCTTAATTCTGAAAGATAAACAGGATCTAAATCTTTTAGCATCCAGCATCGTCCAACTTGTAGGATCTTTTCTTATAGTTAGATGATGCAGGATGCTGAAAGATAAACTGGATGCTAAAATACTTTTTCCACTAAAAAATTCTTAGATTTGGTATAGAAAAATAAATTTGTATCTTTATACATTTCCTACAGAGGGAAAACATTAGTGGCAACTGAAAATGTATGCAGATACATAAAATGTTTTTATACATTAGATACAATAGAATAACTAGCTAAGTTTTTGAAATTCGATTAAAGAATGGAAGTTTGCATGTTGTGTTATGAATAAAACAATAAACTAGCATGTAGATTTATGAATCCGTAAAGTTTTTTCAGTTCTTGTATTTTTCAAATGGTGTATTTTATCATTTCTCTCTCGTAAAACCTTTATTTTGATTTAAATATTCTAAAATTTGTTACAGGTAACATTACAACATAAAAATTACTCCGAATTTTAATAATTTTTTATTAATTTTGTAAAAAAAAATTTAATAAAATACTTCATTTACTAACAGACAAGTGAATAATAGCTTAATTTTTACTTTAAAGGGTTGGAAAAAGTGCTATAGTTAAACTGGATCGCACATCGAGTGTGACTGGCATGTCTTCCGGTGCACTAACGCAATTAAATGTGGATAAAAATCTCTATTTAGGTAACCTTCTGATACTGTTTTAAATCAAATTTTAACTTGATTATCTATAAAAACTCTTTTCTTTTCTCATATAGGAGGAATGAAAGAATTACCCGAGAAGAACTTTCATTATCGCATGGGTTTAATTGGCTGTCTAGCCAACCTGACGCTTTCGCAAGATTACCACATTCATCTAGTCACCCATGCAAAAACTGGGATTAACATCTTACCCTGCATGTAATGATAACTCATATGTAGATACACAAACAGTAATTTGTGTGCCTGTTGTAATAAATTAACTTGAAAAAAAAATCACAGAAAAACTGAATAAACAAACATATAATTATATTATATATATATATATAATATATAATTGTAATATTAGTGACTGACAATATATCTAAATAAAATTAAAATAAAATGTAATTTGATAACAAAACTACATAACATGCTCTAAAGGTATTCTTTATTATTATTCTTTTATAGTAGAAGATATTGTTAATATACAGTAGACCCCCTATAATGCGGAGATACGTTCCTTGTTATACGAATTTCGCGTTGTAGGAATCCTTAAATACATGAGCCAATCGCAGCCCGAACGTGTGAAGTTTACAGACTACGGCTGTTTGAAAGGTTTTCTTCCATAAAATTAATCTAATTCGACTCATCATTTCCAAAACACGTATAATTTTTTGGAAATAATATGTATAAACTATGCTATAAACAAAAAGTTGTAGGATTACTTACCGAGTGTNTAATTCTGAAAGATAAACAGGATCTAAATCTTTTAGCATCCAGCATCGTCCAACTTGTAGGATCTTTTCTTATAGTTAGATGATGCAGGATGCTGAAAGATAAACTGGATGCTAAAATACTTTTTCCACTAAAAAATTCTTAGATTTGATATAGAAAAATAAATTTGTATCTTTATACATTTCCTACAGAGGGAAAACATTAGTGGCAACTGAAAATGTATGCAGATACATAAAATGTTTTTATACATTAGATACAATAGAATAACTAGCTAAGTTTTTGAAATTCGATTAAAGAATGGAAGTTTGCATGTTGTGTTATGAATAAAACAATAAACTAGCATGTAGATTTATGAATCCGTAAAGTTTTTTCAGTTCTTGTATTTTTCAAATGGTGTATTTTATCATTTCTCTCTCGTAAAACCTTTATTTTGATTTAAATATTCTAAAATTTGTTACAGGTAACATTACAACATAAAAATTACTCCGAATTTTAATAATTTTTTATTAATTTTGTAAAAAAAAATTTAATAAAATACTTCATTTACTAACAGACAAGTGAATAATAGCTTAATTTTTACTTTAAAGGGTTGGAAAAAGTGCTATAGTTAAACTGGATCGCACATCGAGTGTGACTGGCATGTCTTCCGGTGCACTAACGCAATTAAATGTGGATAAAAATCTCTATTTAGGTAACCTTCTGATACTGTTTTAAATCAAATTTTAACTTGATTATCTATAAAAACTCTTTTCTTTTCTCATATAGGAGGAATGAAAGAATTACCCGAGAAGAACTTTCATTATCGCATGGGTTTAATTGGCTGTCTAGCCAACCTGACGCTTTCGCAAGATTACCACATTCATCTAGTCACCCATGCAAAAACTGGGATTAACATCTTACCCTGCATGTAATGATAACTCATATGTAGATACACAAACAGTAATTTGTGTGCCTGTTGTAATAAATTAACTTGAAAAAAAAATCACAGAAAAACTGAATAAACAAACATATAATTATATTATATATATATATATAATATATAACAAAGTTAGATAATGTATTATACAGCATAAATTCTTCGCAAAGTATGTTGCTAATCAATGTTGAGCAACTTGTGTAAGAGGATATTCCTGTTATCCGGCGGGATTGTTACGGAAATAATTTTGGCCACGTGTACCAAAAAACAATATCAATTTTGTAATGGTTTTGTCGATAGGAACACTTTCATTTCTACGGATACGCTAATGGAACCAGCCTTAGATTACGACGACGCCTCGTGTTGCAATTGGCAATCTCACTCGTAATAACGCAACTCTATCAAACTTACGAATGGCATTTGGATTAAAAGCGTTGCACGAGAAGCACCTGTTTTGTATATTTTGATTTTTTGCTCGTCTCCTCCTCGAAATCAAGTGTTTTCAATTCTAAAGCTAGAGCGACTTTCCCCCCATTTACCTATCTAAACACTGGTGCAGAAGTTTAAACTATCAATGACCAATTTGCAAATTCGAATATAGAATATTGTATTATATAGAGAAACCTTTATCGTATTTTGTGAGATTTACGGAGGGAAGAAAACTATCGAATTCTTTCGATAAATTGGAAACAAATAGCCATATCATAATATAATATAAATACACAAAAGAAAAAATACAAAAAANTATATATATATATAAAAATATAAAAAAAAACCAAAAAATTAATTAAGATAGTATGTGTAGATAAATATAGAATTATAGGAACAAAAAACAAATTGTATTTGAATGGTTAATTAGAGTTTAATACCAGAAATTCATGCAAATCAAACACAGTATACTGAATTCGACAAATTTCACTACTGTAAATGCACTCGAAAGGGGGAAGAAAAAAAACATAAGTCATTTTATATCCGGTAACTGTGATTCTTTTTGTAATCTGTCGAAACTAGTTTCATCTTCAGTGGTTTTAAATGTCTATAAATATATGCAAGATAAAAAAACCCTGTACAGATTAAGTCGAGTAATTTTAATAAACGGCATTACTTTGAGTTGTAAATTATTTCTCTCCTCCGACGTCGATGATTGTTTGAATATCGTATTTAATAAAATGGTTGTGATATAGCATTTTAAGCAAAGATGCATTAAAAAAAAAGCATTTTACACACACAAAATAAAAAGAAAATTATATATATCTATATATATATATATATATATAGCCTATTGTCTTCAGCCATGTTGCCTATTGTACATTTTTTAATTCATTTATTTATTTTTATATAAATGTCATATTGTTTTTACGTTACATCACGTTTCTAGATTGTCGAGAAGTCGATTGATTTCACGAGTGGCATTTGATTGTTCTGTGTAAAATGCTGATTTCTAGTTATGTATAAAATATAAAGAAGAGAGAGAGGAAAAAAAAAGGGAAACAAATTTTAAATATTATAAAATAGTTTAAATTTTATAATTATTTATTTGTGAACTTTGAATTATAGCAAAATGTGTCATAAAATAAAGATCTTTACAGCTTTCCAGTTACTGTCTCCGGTGTTTGTTTTTTTATTAATTTAAATGACGGGATGCAATTTTGGGATGATGCTTTCCACTCTTGACGAGAATTCTCTCTCGAGTTTTTCCAGTTCCATTTCTGCTTCAGCAATTTTTACTCTCGCCAAGTCTTCGTTCTGATACAAACCGTTGTTTAGATTAAAAAATGATTAAGATAACATTTACAGGGTGGCCCAAAATACACCTACCAAGTTTAATGGTGAGTGTGACAAATCTTAAACTTCTTTCAGAATCAATGTATTTGCTCTCAACTTCAACATTCGTACTACTCGGATAACTTCTTCTCCAAAAGTCTAAGAACTTATTTATATTTCCAGTGTCTAGCAAGTGAGAGAACGAATATTAAACTGGAAAATTAGCATCAGAGCATCAATGTATTTTATATTCACAAGTGAGCAAACAAGCAAATAGCTTACACGTCATTACACAGTTATAAAGATGGTGCGGTAGTAGGCTACGCTCAATCACTGGGTCGATTCAGTGACCAAGCATTAACTTAAATTTTAATTCACTCACTCATTAGATGTTGAAAGTATAAATAAGCTCTAAGTATTTCAAGAATAAAGTGTACTGACCATGGATATAAACATGAAGAATCCAAATCAGGAGCATAAACAGGTCAGTCAATTCTATTTTATGGTGCTTTCCGTGATGCAAAAATCATTGAAGTTTGACAGCAAACACATTGTTGAGCGAATGTTCAAATATCAGGAAGATTAATACATCGTGGCAAACTTTGTCGATCGTATTATTTAGGTACAACAACTTAGTAGGTAATTTTGAGCACCCTTTAAAATTATACTTACTGCCGGAAGATTGGCCATGCATTGCAGCTTCATCTGAACGGTATTCAATTTCTCCTTCATTTCTTTTATCGACTGTAATTGATATTTATTATCAATTGAACAATATTTTAACCTTATTGTATAGGGTGTCTAAAAAGTTATTGTGCAGAGGGAAATTTATAATGACATTAAACATATGAGACCTACAAGTCGTCCATTTGATACTAGTTGATCAATTGACTATACTGGATCGCGCACAATTTGCAGGTCTCATATCTTTAATGTCATTACAAATTTCTCACCGCGCAGTAACTTTTCGGACACCCCGTATTTAAAATATCTTTAACATTACCTCAGACTTCTTGACAAGAGTACTGTGATAAATATTTGGATCAATCTGCATCTTCTGTAGATATTTCTGTAAGAAAATTTATTTACCGATAAGCAAAAACAGTTTCTTTTTAATTCCAAAATGGCAAAACATGTTTGCTTCAATACAAGATATGATAAATTTCATAACAAAAGCGAAATAAAATAACCCAGAAAAAGATATAACGTGATGACCGAACGTTAAATCAAATCAAAGAGACGAAAGAATATTTCGCTATTATCGTTTATTGTATAAACTTTGTTTTGAGTTTTAGAGGAGGAACAAAATGAGATTCTATCAGTTTGATTTCAATAAAATTCAATTTTGTACAGTTACAGTATGAAGAATTTGATTTCCTATGACTTTGAATGTTATCCAAACTATAACAACACACAATTTGTTATGCCGTAAACTTCAACAGGAAATCACAATAATAAAATATACCGTTACTGAAAACTGAAAGTATATTGCAGACATGACTGTCTGTCTGTTTTAATTTTAAAATATTTGAAGCACTGTCACTTTCGTTACATACAAAAAGTTATCTGGAATATTTATAAAGAAGAAAAGATCTATTTAAAAAGAAACTTCATATGTTGATCAGAAACTCAATAATTTTACCCTTTCTTATTTCTTAATCTAATCAGTTAGGGTGGCAGCCTGATGTTCTGCAGGACTTGGGATTGAATCTGATCAGAACAAACATCCCATGGATTTTTCATGAGGTGGTCTGTCCCATTATGAGCTTGCTTAAATAGAAATAGGGACACCCTCTTACAAGGAAACTGTTGGAGTGTCTTCTCATAAATTTTAATAATATTTAGTTAATAATTACGTTAAAAGTATGCAAACTCTATTTTAAATTTGTAGCATTCACTAAAAGTGTTGATCAGAGTTATTAGCAATCAAATGTTGCACTACTTTATAGTAGTTTAACACAATTACACAAATTTTTAGAAGTGAAAGGGTCGCGGAGGAAGACTGCGATATTACATTTAAGAATAAATAATGGAATTTTCAAAAATGGGAGAAGAATTAATCAAATTTAGTTAATAATTATGTTAAAAGTATACAAAATTTTATTAATTCTTCAACCATTTTTGAAAATTCCAGAATTTATTCTAAATGTAATATTGCCATCTTTCTCCGCGACCCTTTCACTTCTAAAAATTTGCATAATAGTGTTCAACTACTATAAAGTAGTGCAACATTTGATTGTTAATAACTCTGATCAACACTTTTAGTGAATGCTACAGATTTAAAATAGAGTTTGTATACTTTTAACGTAATTATTAACTAAATTTTATTAAAATTTATTAGAAGACACTCCGACAGTTCCCTTGTTAGTGCTTTTATCCTTTTGTAGGTATGGTCACGGCCATTGAGAGGGGAAGCTAGGCATTTTACTACGAAGCCAGAGGAAACTTAGGAGGTGCTGTAGTGGTCATTCACAGACACTTTCCATACTGGTTCCAACATGTTAATTTTTCCTAATAAATGTACTGTACCTGCTGAAACCGGTACGGAATGTGTCTGTGAGTGATTACATTATTTTCCAGCTTTTGCAGTGTTTTAAGTGGCCATAATGGTTCCTACCTCTATAAATATATGTTACTTTCACTAACTAAAAATAAAATCTTTAAGACTGCTATTTATTAATAAAGAAACATTCTCTATGTATTTCATTTGTTCAAAAATGGCAAAAAAGTCAGCTAAGGAACTAAGAGAGCCCATTCTACTTCTGGATCCCATATCAAGCTTTCAATAGTCCTCTGAACAGTGATATTCTTTTAAGTACAATACTCACAATAAAGAAAAACATTCTTAATTCTTAGTCAAATGTGCCAACAAAATATACATGTGTGAAATATTACACAACTGTCAAACAAAAGCTTATAACTTCAACAGGAAAACAATGGCAGCAAAACAAAATGGGTACATTCCAGCATGTGTCAGTCTCTGCCACAACCGATGCATTGGCGAATGGTTTAAAAAGCTATTGCTGGAACATCTGGCAACCCACCAAGATGGCAGAAGCAAATGGCACTATATTGGCAGTAGCAGACTTAACTTTGGGTTAATACCAAGGGCAAATTCTCTGGGCTTGCTTAGCATGCACTGCATGCTTAAGAGAAACTTTTGACTGTCAATATAATTTTTAAATGAGAACAAATATGCCAATAATAATTTATTCTAAACTCTTTTATCATTGGCAACTAGCAGCTGTCCGTTTTAAGTCAGTGCAATGCTTGCAGGAACTTGATTGCTTGCTCGTGTGGAGGTTTGCCGCAGCAGACAAGTGCGCACGCACAACATCATTCAAAGCATTTAACATGGCCGGATTATATCGAAAGCTTGCAGTACCCAGTCAGCATACATGTATTGTATACAGGAGAGGATCTACATAGAGACTAATACGGTTTAATCCCTGGGCCCCCAGTGTCAAGAGCACATACAAATTGAATTATCATAAATTTTTAATACTTTTTCGTTATATTTCACGTATTTCATGTGTAGATATAATGGACTTTATAATAGTCAATACTTTTTTTATTCACACCAAATAACATTTCTGTCTATTGCTTAGTGCTAGAGATAGGCTCATTATTCTTATTATAAGTAAGATGAATAGTAAAACTGGTGTTAATAACGTAACAAGCCATACTCTTTCATCAGAGCTTACCATATCTACAGCCCAATGAGTGTATCAGTTGCTCACTGATAAACTCGGTGAACATTGAAACACATTTTATTAATAATGCATTGCGGTTTACTATCTTACTTTAGGCTTTGGTCAGTAAAGCCATGTAAATATATATATAAACAGCTTGCAAAAATTGATATGGTTCAAAAAAAGGAAGATTGTAATTCAAATTTACTGAACTGTTTAAAAATTGGATTTCTTAATGGAATGCCATTCCAAAGTCTTTTTCATATATTTTTTTTATTCTGTATTTAAAAGTCTGTTCTAATTACAATCTGGACTTGAATGTTGCAGGTTAGAACCCAACAAGGACCATCTAAGATGGTCGAGAACATTTGTTTGCCTATTAAACTGTTTCCGTTGCTGGATTTTTGGTGTTGATATATTTATTTCTGAGCTACGTCCAGTTTTACAAGCTGTTTATTTATGAATAATATATTCTTTTTGTTTAAAAAATTTCTTTTAAACATTTCAAGAGAACGTTATTCAAAAATTTATTATAATAGATTAAATTTTTTATACTACTTTCAAGAAGAGAAAATTAAATTTCAAATTTAAATATATATTCAATATTAAAGCATCGTTCACTCACATCGTGTACTGCCTATTGCCCTTATAATCATTATAAAGTGTTATTGTATTACTAAAAAAATCAATTGTCTACAAGATTCTAAAAATAATTTAAGCTATAAACCTCATAAAGTATTAATACGGGAAGCTTGTAAGTCGACTTTAATATCGAGAAGTTTTTTAAATGTTTACTAAAAGATTCATATAACATTCCGTAAATAATTTTTATTAAAGTTTACATTTAAATTTTGAGGAAAGTATATATGATACTCTAGTCCAACTTTATATATTGATATCAGACAGTAATAGAGAAGGAGTAAAAAAAAAAAAAAAACAGAGAAGATGGGAGGACGAAGAGAAAGAGGAGGAGGAGAAAGAGGAAGAAGAGGAGGAAGAGAAAGAGGTGGAGGAGAAGAAAGAGGAAGAGATGGAGGAGGAGAAAAAGGAAGAGGGGAGGAGGAGAAGAAAGAGGAAGAAGAGGAGGAGGAGGAGGAGAAAGAGGAAGAAGAAAGAGGAGGAGAAAGAGGAAGTAGAGAAAGAGGTGGAGGAGGAGAAAAAGGAAGAAGAAAGAGGAGGAGAAAGAGGAAGAAGAGGAGGAGGAGAAAGAGGAAGAAGTGAAAATAAAAGAAAAGAAAGAAACAAAACTGTTCCTAATTACTTTGAAAACATTTTAAAACATATTGATAAATAAAAGTTAATAATAATAAAGATTCACTCGGGGATTAAAAATAATACATATTAATTCCATTTACAAACTAAACAAAACATGTTTAATTACTGTAAACAATTTTTTGCAGAAGAAAATTTAATTGTTTAGCAGTATTGTAATTAAAAAAACAAGAAAAAAGAGAATGAAATTAATAACATTGTAAGTAATGAAACATAGTAAGAGAGATGGAATTAAAATTTAAAAACTTTTATATAAATATATTTAAATTCCAAATTTAATTACATTTCTCTTTATTTTTAAGATAAAGATATACAAAAAAAAGAAAAGAAAAAGAAAGAAAGAAACATGCTTGAAAAATTACTTTCGAGTATGCAAACAGAATTTTTGTTTATTTTAAGAAATAACAGAAATTAATAGAATGCATTAAAGTAAAATATATAGTTTACATTCATTTCCGTGATTAACATTCCAAAATATCTAACTATAATTATGGAACTAGTACAACAAATATTTTTGTATATTTTTTCCCCTGCATTTTTATATTAATTAAGATTGATTAAAAGATGCAAATAATAAACTGGCGCATGGCAAGGTATCTAGCTAGTTGCATTACATCCGTTACATGTGATCCTGATTCACAACAGAGTCGGCCAGTAGACGCAAATAAATGGAGAACAGCAGGACATTGTTTCCCATTCCTGTGGTATTTTTTTTAACAACCCCATTATGAATTTAACCAATGAGTTACTGAGTGGTGAGGGACGAAGCCTGACATGTCTGGAGGGCCACCCCAAAATATTCCTGGATTTTTCGACCCATCCAAATTCAATCCCAGGTCGAGTGGTATGGTGTTGAACCACTCTACTATTGGGCCATTGGTTGATATATAGTAATTAAAACATTTAATATTTTAATTACTAGTGATTAATAATTTTTAGTTTGTTTTCAGATAGTTTTGGTAAATGATCAAATTGCCTTATCTATAGAAAATTCTATACAAAACAAAGAATCTGCATACTTTTTAAACCTTTTTGATAATTCTAAATTATCATATTGCATAGTAACCTTAACTTATATGCAGTTTCAACCTGCAATCGAGTTGACCTGGTGTCGAGAAATAAAGCCTGGCATATCAAATTAGACTAGCTATAAAAAATTCTTATGGTTCTGACTTGGATTCTTCAAAGTGCAAGCGGATATTTCCGACAACTTTGGCCATCTCAATGGCAATTTTTCTTGATAAATAATATTGAAAAGTCACGGGAAAAAACAAAGTTTTATTCGTAACTCCTTACCAGATTTTTCTTTTTGAGAAAATAAATCTTGATTTTTTTTTGGTAAAAGATCTGAAATGTTATTTCTAGTAGCAGCTTTATAAATCATATGAGAAAGTTTGCTTTATAACAGAAGATAGAAATTGGCAGCTTTCTAATTCATCTAAACAGAAATAAAAATTTGTTGGTCAAAAATATGCTGGAGTTTTTAATTAAATATCTGCATGTGTGCGTGCATATGTATACTTTAAATTTTAACATTTTCCGAATATTTTTCGGTCTCTTTCCATATTGGGCGCATTAGTTGCCTTTATTAAGCCTATTGCGAGTTTAACCACACTCACAATAGAGCAGCTGGAAAACAGGAAATGAGATCCAACATATCCTAGACAGACCACTCCAGAAAAATTCTGAAGGAAGTTAGTATTTTAGTGACACATCAAAAAAGAAGTAAACATTTTATTAAATACAAACAAAGATAATATAAATTTACCTCTAAATGTTTTAATTCTTTATCGTATTCTTTGACTTTTGACTTTAAAAACGAAGAATATTTCTTGTTATTGTGAATTTCGGGAAGATTATCTTGCCACCACTTCTCAGCTTCTTGAAGCTCTCTGAGTCGGAAATTACAATTTTACACTCGTTACTATCGGAAAAGATTTCAAAAATATTAACTGTACCTTTCTAACTGCTGTAGCTTCTGTTGCATTGCTATGGAATCGGAAGATAATTTTCCTGAAATTTTGGATTCGTCTTTACGAGTCTCGGAAATTTTTGCAGTCTCTTCGAAAATCCTTTCCATTTCATGTATAAAACTACAAAAAATGTTTAATATATAATTATACATGTAAATAATATTTATATGCTTTTATATTATTGAAATGCTTCTCCGTACCTGCTAAGAGATGTATTTTTTAAGTTAAGAACACTTGCAACCAATGCTAGTCCAGAAATATCTGAGTGTAGTTGAGTGTGGAGGTTAATTTTAACTTGTTGAAGGATTTTCGAAAGTTTTTCGGCTGCCAAAAAATCAAAATTCTTATTATTAAAACACGATGAGTTGATATAAATGGAACTAAATACAGGGCACATAGTAAAGTCCTTATAAACCAAGATGTAGTAATATACAACATGACAAAAAATTTCCTTGTTGCAAATGAAAGCATATACATCAAGTCTTTAACAGTATCTTAATCTTTCAATATGTAATTCTCCAAACATTAATGTGTTAAATGTTCATTCATGCCATACCTTCTCTAGCACATATCCATCAGTCTGGGAGATAGCTGACATATACTGGAGAAAATATAATGTAAATTTATCACATTGACATGTTCAGATTGACACACAGAGTCCATATTGAGGGATTTAAGATACTATTCAAAACTTATTGAATGCAAACAAACATTTTTATCACAGAAATTATGCAGTTAATCTGAAGTAAAATATGTAAGTTGTCAACATCACTTTGACTCGACAGTGGTTCTAGATATGATCAGATTGTGCAGCCAAACAGAATATCAAGAGGCAATGAATTCAAAATTTACACTACAGTTGTCCCTTGATAGTCCGACGTTTTTTAATCCGACATGCTCAGTAGTCCAACACACCTCCCATCAAGGTACCCGTCCCCGTTACGTGTCTGCTTGCACAGAAGCATGTCGCAATGTGAATCTCCCCATCCAATTCTTACTTGATGACACACATTTCGTGTGTTTTATGTGAGCAGTTCTGTTCAAACAGTTGGAGTAGAGAATATTGTAAGTTACTGCTAGCAAAACAATGCAAAATATGTAATTATTTTCGGTAATCTGGACACTTTTGGTAATCCGACACCCCTTTGGTCCCATACCTGTCGGATTATCAAGGGACAACTGTATTTATATTGGGTACAATCCAGTATGCATCAGTCTCAACCACAATCGATGCACTGGTGAGCAGTTTAATAAACTTTTACTGAAATATTGCAATCTAACAAGACGGCATTTGCAGACTTATTTTGTCAAAAATAACTTATCAATAGTAAAAATGGTGATAATTATATAACTGTCATATTGCATTCATTACAACTCACCATATCCACAGCCTAACGACTTCACTAGTATAGCAACTGATGTACCGACGAAGTCAGCAGTAAAAATCTAAATGTATTTTAGTGCATTGCAGTTTGTCGATGCATACTGGAATGTATCCACCAATTAGCAAGCCTGCGCACACTAAAATTTCTTGCACATTACGTATATAAATCTAGATCCTGTATTGTTGACTAACCACATACAAAATTCACATATACTAAATACATGTTAAGGTATCTCCTTAAGCACAATTCTGATTAAAGCTGCTTTCCTTGCAGCAGAAATTTAAAAAAAAATTTCAATTTACCCTGTATTTTAATACAAAAACATTATCTTTGTCCTCGACAGCATTCGTTTTTATGTAATAAGTTATGGAATTTTATTTTTATACAGTCGACCCCCATAACACTGTTGATAATTCCGTTTTATATGAATTCCATGTTGTACGAGTCACTTACATTTTACAAATACGTGTGTCGGGCTGTGAACGGTTCACACATTTGTAAAATCTAAGTGACTCGTACAACATGGAATTCATATAAAACGGAATTATCAACAGTGTTATGGGGGTCGACTGTATAAAAATAAAATTCCATAACTTATTACATAAAAACGAATGCTGTCGAGGACAAAGATAATGTTTTTGTATTAAAATACAGGGTAAATTGAAATTTTTTTTTAAATTTCTGCTGCAAGGAAAGCAGCTTTAATCAGAATTGTGCTTAAGGAGATACCTTAACATGTATTTAGTATATGTGAATTTTGTATGTGGTTAGTCAACAATACAGGATCTAGATTTATATACGTAATGTGCAAGAAATTTTAGTGTGCGCAGGCTTGCTAATTGGTGGATACATTCCAGTATGCATCGACAAACTGCAATGCACTAAAATACATTTAGATTTTTACTGCTGACTTCGTCGGTACATCAGTTGCTATACTAGTGAAGTCGTTAGGCTGTGGATATGGTGAGTTGTAATGAATGCAATATGACAGTTATATAATTATCACCATTTTTACTATTGATAAGTTATTTTTGACAAAATAAGTCTGCAAATGCCGTCTTGTTAGATTGCAATATTTCAGTAAAAGTTTATTAAACTGCTCACCAGTGCATCGATTGTGGTTGAGACTGATGCATACTGGATTGTACCCAATATAAATACAGTTGTCCCTTGATAATCCGACAGGTATGGGACCAAAGGGGTGTCGGATTACCAAAAGTGTCCAGATTACCGAAAATAATTACATATTTTGCATTGTTTTGCTAGCAGTAACTTACAATATTCTCTACTCCAACTGTTTGAACAGAACTGCTCACATAAAACACACGAAATGTGTGTCATCAAGTAAGAATTGGATGGGGAGATTCACATTGCGACATGCTTCTGTGCAAGCAGACACGTAACGGGGACGGGTACCTTGACGGGAGGTGCGNTCTATACAAAACAAAGAATCTGCATACTTTTTAAACCTTTTTGATAATTCTAAATTATCATATTGCATAGTAACCTTAACTTATATGCAGTTTCAACCTGCAATCGAGTTGACCTGGTGTCGAGAAATAAAGCCTGGCATATCAAATTAGACTAGCTATAAAAAATTCTTATGGTTCTGACTTGGATTCTTCAAAGTGCAAGCGGATATTTCCGACAACTTTGGCCATCTCAATGGCAATTTTTCTTGATAAATAATATTGAAAAGTCACGGGAAAAAACAAAGTTTTATTCGTAACTCCTTACCAGATTTTTCTTTTCGAGAAAAATAATTTTATTAAATACAAACAAAGAAAATATAAATTTACCTCTAAATGATTTAATTCTTTATCGTATTCTTTGACTTTTGACTTTAAAAACGAAGAATATTTCTTGTTATTGTGAATTTCGGGAAGATTATCTTGCCACCACTTCTCAGCTTCTTGAAGCTCTCTGAGTCGGAAATTACAATTTTACACTCGTTACTATCGGAAAAGATTTCAAAAATATTAACTGTACCTTTCTAACTGCTGTAGCTTCTGTTGCATTGCTATGGAATCGGAAGATAATTTTCCTGAAATTTTGGATTCGTCTTTACGAGTCTCGGAAATTTTTGCAGTCTCTTCGAAAATCCTTTCCATTTCATGTATAAAACTACAAAAAATGTTTAATATATAATTATACATGTAAATAATATTTATATGCTTTTATATTATTGAAATGCTTCTCCGTACCTGCTAAGAGATGTATTTTTTAAGTTAAGAACACTTGCAACCAATGCTAGTCCAGAAATATCTGAGTGTAGTTGAGTGTGGAGGTTAATTTTAACTTGTTGAAGGATTTTCGAAAGTTTTTCGGCTGCCAAAAATCAAAATTCTTATTATTAAAACACGATGAGTTGATATAAATGGAACTAAATACAGGGCACATAGTAAAGTCCTTATAAACCAAGATGTAGTAATATACAACATGACAAAAAATTTCCTTGTTGCAAATGAAAGCATATACATCAAGTCTTTAACAGTATCTTAATCTTTCAATATGTAATTCTCCAAACATTAATGTGTTAAATGTTCATTCATGCCATACCTTCTCTAGCACATATCCATCAGTCTGGGAGATAGCTGACATATACTGGAGAAAATATAATGTAAATTTATCACATTGACATGTTCAGATTGACATACAGAGTCCATGTCTTAATTACTTCGGAAAGTTTCAATGTGAGTAAATAACATAAGCTAGATACTTAGATAATTAATTATATTCAAAACACTCGGTAAATATTTTGTATCTTTCCATCCTGTGGGTAATAAGAGGACCTTTTTCATCCTGTGTGTAATAAGAGGAACCACTTGTTTGTTCCCATTGTGGGCCTGGCCAAACCCACAGTGGAAACAAACAAGTGGTGAGAGGTGGAGCAACCAGATTAATATGATACGAAGGTAGGTATTGTACATTGGGGGTCGGCAACCTTTTTGTTACTAAAGGTGCAGTAAAAATTTTTAAAATGATGAAAAGTGCATAGTTTAATTTTTGAAAAAATAATCATAATTCTAGTGGGCATGTCTGATATGCGCCACATTGCTGACCCCTGCCATACATTATAAAAAACAAACATTATTTTGTTTTGCTTACCGATCATTTGCAATATTTAAACCAGATTAGTGTGAAATAGTATTGCATAAGTCAAATTAATTTATTTGATTAAGTTATGCATAGAATGCTTTTATCTTAATAGTTTGATTAAAGCATTTATATCTATAGAGTCAAACCTTATGGCAGACATGGCCAACATACAGCCCACGGGCCAGATCCGGCCCGTCTAATGAATTTACATGGCCCACAATTAATCTTTCAATATTAGCTACTCAAGTCCGAATAGCTCGATGAAAAATTCGGATGCCTAAAAGAAAAGAAAAAAAAAAAGTCAACAACTCACTGTGCATTTAGAGTTAACGCTCCATTACAAATCTCCTAAGTACAGTGTAGAATGTTGATACAGCATGATAATGTGAAAAATGTATCTGTAATCTCTATCTACAATTTAGTCTCTATTGGGTGACACCACAATGAGATCTCACACCACCTCAAAATCTTCCTAGGGCAGCCTCTGGTTCGGCCCGTGAAAAAAGTTTTCTTTCCAACTCGACCCGGGGGCAAAAACTGTTGGCCACCCCTGCCTTATGGTATAAATGCAGCTGTGAATGAGGTGGTTGGGACCTTACCATGTCTATAGATAATACNATACATTTTATAATAAATTTTATTCATTTTAAGAAGCGATTCGTAAAAAGATAAAGAAAATAAGAAGATAAATGGCGGATTTTTATAAATTACTGTATTATAGAAATTAACTAAAATTGATACCACATTAACTGAGTGGTGGTTACGGTAAATGTTTACCTCTCTGGGGACACTGAATCAAATCCAAATGGACAAATCTTTTGGGAATGGTCCACCCGAATATTTTAGGTCCCGTCCCTCAACACGGCCATCACACTGTGGGTTTGTCCAAGCTTAAATGAGCTTGCTAAAAAGGCCTTTTTAGTCTCCATAGGAAAGAGAGGGTTAAAAAAAAGAACAGAGAGGCGATCTCGTTTATCTATTCATATAGCAAATATCAATCAACTACTGCTAATAAATACAATATGTATTAAATATTGTCTGTGGCCATTTGCTAAATGAGTTTGACGGCTGCATGAATTTAAGCATCCTCTTGTAATTCTGTCCCGATAAAAAGAGGTGCCGAAAACTGGTGATTAATCTGTGCTATATTTAAGTAATGAGTGCTAAATATTATTATTATTTTATCTGTATTTCTCCCTCTGGTAAGGATGCTTTCCTAAATCAGTAATAAGAATTGTTTTATATAAATGAAATAAATGCAAATACTACCAACTAAATAAATAACCAGAAATTGTTAAATTTTCTGGGCTATTTTTATAAAAGTAACTCAGATCAATCTAGACCCAAGATTCTCGAGTTTCTCGTTATTATTAAAAAGACCTGTTTCTAACAATAGGTTTTCTTTTCAATTTTATGATAATTTACATTAAAGTTTTAAACATCACATGACACTCTCATCACAGTTTTTATGTTGCTACTCATGTACATAGGGAATAAGAACAATATTAAAACTAGCTGATTTATTGTAGACCTGTAAAACGAGATCTTAATGCATGGTTTACATATAATACATACTTTAATAGAAGCATTTAAATAATTTAATGACAGATAATAGGTATTTTTATCATTCTTATAAATTGAAGGTTTACAAATTCAACCTTTGTGCCTCGATATGCTAGATAGTTAAAATGGTTAAAGCATCGGCCTACTGCCCTGGGAAACTCAGAATCAAATCCGAGTGGCAACATCAGGAAGTTCTGTCCTGGATGTGTTAGGCCCCATCTTTCATGTGTGAGCATGGAAAAAAAGATCCTCTTATAAACTTCTTTATTTAGTAAAATCATCTGTTTTGTTAATTATTCTAAATAAATATGATAAAAAAACGTGTGTAATTCTAAAGTTTGTAATATTCTTTACTCGTATGTGTAATCATTTCTATTTGTGTAGACATGATAATTAGATAGCAATCAAAAATGTTGAACTCAGCAAATAATTTTTCTGTAATGAGATGGTAAAAATGTCTTAATTACATAGAAATAGATAAATAAATAAAACTCACGCCAAAATTGTATAGCCTTCTTGATAAAAAGCACTGAGTTCAGCGTTAATACGCTGAACTCAGTGCTTTATCAAGAAGGCTGTATAGAGTCTGTTCTCTTTGACATATTTTGATGAAATATAGGTTAGATGGACCATGGGAAACAGGAAAATGCAAAAAAAAATTAATTTAAATTTCTACCACTAGGTGAAAAATGGTGCATGAAGAACAAGAAACACAAAATGGANACCCACAGTGGAAACAAACAAGTGGTGAGAGGTGGAGCAACCAGATTAATATGATACAAAGGTAGGTATTGTACATTGGGGGTCGGTAACCTTTTTGTTACTAAAGGTGCAGTAAAAATTTTTAAAATGATGAAAAGTGCATAGTTTAATTTTTGAAAAAATAATCATAATTCTAGTGGGCATGTCTGATATGCGCCACATTGCTGACCCCTGCCATACATTATAAAAAACAAACATTATTTTGTTTTGCTTACCGATCATTTGCAATATTTAAACCAGATTAGTGTGAAATAGTATTGCATAAGTCAAATTAATTTATTTGATTAAGTTATACATAGAATGCTTTTATCTTAATAGTTTGATTAAAGCATTTATATCTATAGAGTCAAACCTTATGGCAGACATGGCCAACATACAGCCCACGGGCCAGATCCGGCCCGTCTAATGAATTTACATGGCCCACAATTAATCTTTCAATATTAGCTACTCAAGTCCGAATAGCTCGATGAAAAATTCGGATGCCTAAAAGAAAAGAAAAAAAAAAAGTCAACAACTCACTGTGCATTTAGAGTTAACGCTCCATTACAAATCTCCTAAGTACAGTGTAGAATGTTGATACAGCATGATAATGTGAAAAATGTATCTGTAATCTCTATCTACAATTTAGTCTCTATAGGGTGACACCACAATGAGATCTCACACCACCTCAAAATCTTCCTAGGGCAGCCTCTGGTTCGGCCCGTGAAAAAAGTTTTCTTTCCAACTCGACCCGGGGGCAAAAACTGTTGGCCACCCCTGCCTTATGGTATAAATGCAGCTGTGAATGAGGTGGTTGGGACCTTACCATGTCTATAGATAATACCTATAGGAGTAAGAAATTCAAAGGAACTGATGTAATTCTTCACAAGATATAACCTCCAAAATCAGCCTATCTGGAAATTTGGACCTTCAAAGAGTGTGGTACCCAAATCCTCATTCAGAACTGCACTTTTACCCGCTTATGATAGAAAAATACATACATATTTACCAGTTATATTGTATTCTGCAGCAGAATTCTTCAAATAGTTCATAATTATCTGGGAATGTTTTTCTTTCTCTTGATAGCGAGTCATTATAGAAGCAAGAATGTTTAAAGTCCTGTTATTAATTTCAAATGTTGGTATATTTTCATTTTGATAAATAATTTTCAACCAGTTATGAATCTCCTATGGAAAGAAAGACAAATGTTAATTTTTCTTATCTATACACAAATAATACTTGAATTATAATTAAATTTGAATCTATAATTATAAATAATTCCGATTTCTCACTTGTATTTGTATTACATTAGAGCTCATGGTTTCAATTTATAAACAAGCTATCACGTTGCCTCTATAAAATCAAATTCAAATATTTGCGATAGAAGCACCATTTGTGTCAAAATTAAATAATAAAATAATAAATTACATTTTTTTAAATATATATAGTTTGTAAATTATTATTACTAATAAAGATAAAGAAATTTACAAAGAGTTAGCAAATTTATTTATATTTGTTTATATATATTTTTTCTGGAATAAATTTTATTTTTAAAACGAGAGGGCGGTGTTTGCCAATATGGCTTCTCCCAGTTGTTCAACGTGGTCTTAGTGTCGGTTTGAATAGTATTAACGAAATTGGAGAAGTTACTGATTTTATTTTATTCTGAGTTATGCCTAGAAACGTTAAATTGAGTTTGAATCCTAATGGAAATTTTTGGGCTAAAGGTAAATTAGATTTTAGTACAAGTTACTTTCGGTCAAATATGTATATGTGTATAAATGAGCTAAGATCCTAAAAGTAACTTCTACGTTTTATTTGATTCATTAATTAATCAAAATATTTAATTTTGCTGTAATATTATAGCTCTGAATGAGGTGTGGAGTGTCGGCCCTCTACCCCTTATTCAGAGCTAGAATCTTATTTAAAGCAGCTCAATAATGAGCTTGATTCACATATTCTTCAATTGTCAGCAGGTAAAGGGTTACAATTGCAGATATGAATGACACTGTTGAGACTTTAACAGAGCTGTAGACCATATGCATATGAGCAAAAAAAGCCAAAGAAACCGTACCTGTACGTGTGACACTTCGTGAGATAGCCCCTTAAAATCAACCTACTTCCAGGCTTGAGTGTCACACTGCATGTTCTGCGAAGATTGTGACATTAAATTATTTAGTCCATCTAACTACGCTGGCTTTGAATAGCCGACTTGACTGTTTGTGGAGTATTATACAGTTTTAGGGAGTGTGGGGGCTTGTCCCCATTTGAGTACCTCAGTGCAAAACTACGTGCAGAGTGTGGAGCATGGAGAATAGGCAGTAGTATTGATTCCAGGTAAAAGCTGTTTTTAGTCAGTAGAGTTAGTGCATTTATTATTTTCATAGACGTTGCTTGATATGCCTAACTAGGGTTGCCATATGGGACTGTCACCATATTATACTACTCAGTCCTGTATTACTATTTGTCCCGTTTTCTCCCTAATCTCTGTGGGAGGCAGCCGGCAAGTGGCGGCACCCCAGAACTTTTAGTCAATTTCAACTATCAGAGCTTGGTGAATGCTAATTTGTTTCATGTATGTGTAATAAAATAACTAATTGCTTGCTCCTGCACATAGTCTTTCTTAGGTAAAACCATTTTAATATCGGTAATAAAAGATGCCAAAGAGAAAGTATCGTTTTAAAGATGAATATACCAAAAATCAGTCATTTATAAAGAAAGATCAAACTGAATTTGATCAAATACAAACCATATTGATCAGATAATAAAGCTAATAAAGCATTATTATGTCTAATAAAGCTGTGCAAATATGTATTTGCCATTCCAGCCCACAGTGCAAATGTGGAGAGAATATTTTCCCTAATTAATGTCAACTCAATGGTTGGACGAAAGATACAGGTTGTCTAATGGAAACAATTGAAGCTATTTTGATTTGTCATTATAATTTTTAAATGACGTGCATCCAAATTTATAATTATGTGAAAGAAGAAAATGATATAATTAAGAAAGTAAAATCAACTTTAAACTATGACGGGGCTAAAAAGGATTAGCTTTGCATCTGTTTTATTATTCTAAGGGTTCATTTTATTGATTTTTATCAGAGTTAAGTAAACCATTATCTACCCACTTTTTTCACGCTTTATTTAGCACTTAATGGGATGTTTATTTAGCACTTAAATAAATGTCCTGTATCAATGCTTGGCAATTATGGTAACCCTACCTATAACATGGCTTGCAAGCATGACAATCACAAGCAAGATGGTAACTGTAACTGCTGCCACTGGGGTTCCACATTTTAGAGATGAATACCTTGAAAGGGTCACGTGTATAGTTCCTTTGACTTCTTTGCTCCTTTGAACATGGTCTATAGTCCTGTTAAGCTGACAACAGTGTCATTCATATCTGCAATTTTACCTTCAAAATTGCATGCTTTAAATCTTCTTCAATTTACTTGTGACGCAATGAAAAATATCTTCAATAGTTCGTATCTGAGAACTTCACCATTTACGAGTTCTCGTATATTGACCGTATTATATATTAATAGCACTTTGCATAATTTATATAACATTGCTGTACTAAAAATTATTTTCGTAGAGAAGAGAAAATCTTCACAACACCTTTCTTAATATAATTATGAATTTATTGATTGATGATTAATTTCTTAACATTTTCAATTTCTCAAGATAAAGAACGATTCGGATTTAAAATGCTTACCAAGATGGGATGGAAGGACGGTAAAGGATTAGGAAAGAATGAAGATGGAAACACTTCGCATATTAAAGTTACTAACAAGGACGATCGGAAAGGTGTGTTCTTTTATTGTATTTTTCTACGACGGTCTTCCCGAAATTGACTTAACTGTTGAGTAGGAGCGTAAAGATTATCAACTTAAAATGATCTAAATGTAATGTTTATTTAAACATGAAAAATTTCAATATTTTAAAACTCATCTGTAATCATTTAATAAATCTGTTTTGCATTTTTAAGATAGTTAGTAGTATAAAAGAGATTGCGGCTGATGTTTTCATCTGTAAAACGTGAACATCGAGCGCCGCTTACAAGATAGCGGCGCTCGATCTTCGGCCGCAACCTCTCTATTAAAGTTATTTTTTAGTAACATCTTGATAGATAGCATCATCTCGATGAAGTTTGGGGTGTTGATGCTACCGCACGGATTGGATTGATGAGACAAGGGCATTCTTCCTTCTATGGGAAACTGATGCCTATTTAGATGTTAGGAACACAAATAAAACCTGAAAAACTCCATGACCAGTCTATTGGTAACAAGCGAACTCGTGCTATTAGTACGTTTATTCACTATTAGGTGTATGGAGACTGTTAACTCACTCTATTTCTATTTGAAATGCAAAACTTACATAATAAAACTGATCGAATATTGGAGATCAGAAACTTTTTTAAGTCAAATCTGAAAAATCGGAATATTTTGGTTTCGAAAATTAGAGTTAAGGAAAAGCATTACCGGTTAAGTAATATAAAACTTGAAAGGTATACTTTTCGTAAAAAAAAAATACAAGGTTTAGCTTTAATTGCTGAAATAGTGAGTTGGAATATTTATTGCAGGAGTTGGTTTTGTTGGAGCCGAAGATGATTGGATTGCTCATCAAGACGATTTTAATTCATTACTATCATCACTGAATGGACATTTTCAAAGTAAAGAAACGGATACGACCGAAAAGCCAGAACCCGCTACCAAGACTAAAAAACTACAAATATCTAAATTTAGGATTTAGTAAGCAATTTTATTTCTAGATATTTTTGGGAAGATTATATATACAGGGTGTCTGAAAAGTTACTGTGCAATGAGAAAGTTGTATTGACATTAAATTTTTATGTACAGTACTGTACAATATTGTATATGAGGACTGTAAATTGTTCATTTGGTACCAGTTGAGTGTGTGGTCTTGTATGCAATATTATATGTATAACTGTAATGTCGTCATAAATTCCTCATCATGCAGTAACTTTATGAACACTGAGTCGTGTGTGATCCAGAAATTTTTGACAAAGCAGCCATTTACAGTGCCAATAATGTAAAATTTTCTTTATGCAACGGTAAACAGGGTGTGTTTAACTTAGTAAGGTTTTTACTTATATTTGCATGTATTTATTATTAAGTTTTTGCCAGGTGCAACCTGTCCTGCAAGTGGACAGTGTTTTGGTTTCAGATTAATAATACTTAACACTGTTTTTCTTTTTTATCATATGTTTAGTTATTTATTTGAACAAAATAATATATACACAAAAAAAAGATACAAAATAATAAGGAAAATAGGGGAAAAAATACAAGATAATATATCAATACTTTGCACGCACATTTAAGTTGTTGTTTTCGGAACCACACATTCAGATGTGTGGTTCCGAAAGGTAAAAATAAAAGAAAAGCTGAAAGAATTACTTACATCTGCCATAATACAAGCAGGCGTGATACATAATAGGATGGATTATACATTTTTATTTTGAAAAAGTCAAACAGTTTTCTGAAATCAAAGCATTCCTTACCCCCATATTGTATAGTGCACTCATTCCTTCAAAAATATCCATCCTCTTTAGGTGACCACTTATACTTGGAATTGGTGGCGTGCTTAAGAAAAATAACATCGTCCGATGATGGGGGTTGTGCCTGACGAAAGATTAATACGCATTTGTTTACAAATGGCTGCCGTTTCCAGATCATCTGGATCACCCAATGAATTGTACTTCTATAATTTTGATCTCTTATTTTCATATTTTTTAAATAGTATTTACGCTTACGTTAATTGGGATTAATTTTAAAATATTTTAACACATTATTTTGTTGGAGCCTCGGCTATAATTTCATTTTATGCATTAACTATATACTATTATAATTTTGTCCAGACTGAAGGAAACTTGAAATTCCCACTGCCGTAGATGGTGCTTATTTACATTATTTACACTAAACTGTGATGATATAACAATTTTGTGATATTCTTACTTTATTTTGCTTAAATTAAACCCTAGCTATGGCTTTCTAGAGAGATGAGTGTGTCAGTATTGGTGTCAAATGTAAACACCATCCATATTAATCCAAGATAAAGTAGAACTGTTGAAAAAATGGAGCATGTTTTAGTGCCTGAGCTGTGTTGTTGAAATATTATTAAACATCAACATGGATAGTTTCTATTTTTTATTTATTTGACGTAATTGGAAAGTAAGTAATTTGATACTACAGGTAGATGTTAGGTGCCATCTCTTATCTAAATTAAATTAATTATGGCGATTGTTTGACTTAGTATCAATACATCGGGCTTTGGAAAGTTTATATATATATATATATATGAGAAGTTATTTTGTTAATGCATGACAGTAGGACATTAAGATTTAGTTATTTCATAATGTCCTGATCTGTAGTTTGAATCCACATTAAACCAGCAATTATTTTATCGTGAAATTGTTATGATGCCGGGCTGCAAGTTTTAATTGATTTAATTTATAATATATGCTCTCCACCTCAAATTAGTAGTGTCTTGCCCCTGTACAGTACATCATACTTTTCCATTGGCAATAGAGTCATGTCAGTCATCTATCTAACTCCTTTCAGGGGAAAAGTTTTGAATCAAAATAACATGACTTCCAGTACAAACTGGAAGTGTGTATATAGTTAATCGGAGCCTCCCGCCCCTATGCTTTCCATATTTAGTCTTGACTTTCATCTAACTCAGTTGTTGAGATGACTCCTTATACCTTATTAGAAGTCTTATGTTTCTTTTATTGGTTCAAAGATTTATACTTCATAATATTGCAACTAAATTTAATAAATTATTATTTACCTAAACATTTTATGATATTTAACTTACTAATTTTTATAGCTATAAAAAGTTTTTCAAAGGAAAAGACATGTCGAATTATAGTTCAAATGATTTGGATGCTATCCTTGGGAAAAGAAAGAAAAAAGTTAACAAAACAACCAAAGTGAGTATATTGTTTTTTATAATGTTTAATAAATGTGTAAATAAACATGCGCACACAAAATCTGGCATATTTAAGAAGTTTATTGTTTAATAAATGAATACTTCGAAGCATCTTTTTGCATCAAGTTTGTATAACATAGAACACTAAGACTTAATTTGATAATATGAACATCAAAGTAAACCCAGTTTTTTAAAGCCAAATGAACTGCCGAATTATCGGGTATACTCGGCTATGCAATTAATTAATTAAATACTAAATAATTTGTCTAGAAATAGGCAGTTATGCTGACATCTATTTTTTAACGATTAATAATTGTTTTCTTTAATAGGAAAGATTAAAACAGTTATTAAATGATGATTTATATGAAAACACTTATACCAGCAAGAAGAGTATTCAAGAATACTTTTCTGAGAAAATGGGAAATCGTACAATTCAGAATAGAAAGATTGATGATAATGGTGAGTACATTTAATTGAATTATTAAATTCTTAATGCTCGGGTATGAATTATCATTTAAGCCAGTTAACAAGTTTTACTGCACGGTTGTTTTACCAAGAGCAATGATAAACGAGACAGTGGAATAAGAAATGAGTAAGTGAAAGTGCGGTGGATTGAAGTCTAGACCAGATTTATCCATAACACACCACGGGTTGTGGATAAATCTGGAATTTTAAGTTTGAAAATAAACCAATTTTTAAATGTATTCGGTATAAATAAACTAATAACGATAAATATATTTCAGAACCCGAAGATGATATGAAAAAATCAGTAATGTCTGATGCAAATTGTGAGAACATTATTGATTCCAAGTTAAATACGAATGGTTTTTCTGTGGAAGAAGCAGAAAATTTGAACGAATACAATTCGGAAATTTCTGAAGGAAAGACAGAAATGTGTTCGTCGCCACCATCCAATACGGGTTTGAATGAGGATAACGAAAGTTATAACAAGGATACAGTTTCACTTACTAAACTTAAAAACTGTAATGAAAATGAGTCAAGCAATACACTAACTGAAAAGGTGAAGAAAGGAAAGAAAAGGAAACATTTAGAACAGGATCGTAATGAAAATAGTATGGAGGTTACAGCTACGGATACAGAAGTTGTGGATAAGAAAACCAAGAATAGTTTTCATAAGAAGAAAGCTAAGAGAGAGCACAATATTGAAATTGCTGATGGTAAAATGGATTTTCACTCCAACTTTCATTTGCGACGTAAAGTTTACTATGAAATAAGGGAATTTGCGGACGCGTTTCCTAACAGCAGTGTCTTGTCGACAATAGAAAAGTGTGTGAATTTGCATAATAATCTAAACGATTCAATGATAGGAACTAGCAATTTACTTTTTATCGCCGGATACGGAAACGAAAGTTTGGCGGATGCTTGAAACTCCTGTTGAATTGTTACGGAATGAATGAAAAACACTGATTGATAAAGATTTTATAATGATAATAAATATTTATTATTGCTACACTTCTAAACAATTTAATTATGATTTTCCCATTGTTTATTGAAGCAAAAAGTTTTATTAAACAATGGTTATTTATCAAAATTAATGAAATACACCGACAAAAAATTTATTTACAAATTTTAAATTAAGACACAATGCGTATACGTAAGACTTACGTAAGTACAAGTAAATATACACATTACACATATATTACAAATATTAATTGTAGAATTTGCGGTAATGAAGTTCAGCTTGGTTCTTTAAATTTCGTAGTAAGGAGAATCTAGAAATACAGAAAATTTGATTAAAATTCGAGAAATTTTACAGAGACAATTCTTATATCTACATATATTTTATTAACGAAGCTGTATTCTTGTTATTAAGAACAGTTTAAATCGTTTTTATAAAGCAATATTTCACAAATTCTGTTAATTGACCTATTAACTTTGCCCTGTGGGTGCTGAGAGAGCCCTTTTTTTGTGCTGCTGACGGGTTGGGCAAGCCAATAATGGAGGTTGCGGGTAACGAGGGACGAGGTATGACATATCTGAGTCAAATTTCCAGTGATTTGACTCAAAATTTTTAAGTACGCGAACTGCATCTTGTTGTTAGTGCAGTAGTTTGAGTAATTGCTGTTCTGAAAACAGGAAAATCTTTTTGTCATGCTCCTTTTTGTGCATTAGACGATAATGACAAATGTTCTCATCCTTAGAGAATCGTGAACTATTGCTATAGTGTTTAAACTATTCGTTAATTAACTGCAAAATAGCCAATTAAGTTTAAAAAAATGTAATAAAATAATAATCGGAATTGAGTTTAATTAATTTTTGTATCAAAATAATATTTTCAATTTAAAATCGGAGCAAATTTGTTTATTTTTACAGGTGAACATACATATAAATAATTTTAGAATGAATAATTTTTTGTACTGTTAATCCATTAAAAGTTTTTGTGCGCTTAAAACAATTCCATGTACTATTAACCTGCCCTCAATACACTACTTCCAGATCAACACTGCCAAGAATTTCCAGATGACAACTAATCATTTGTAGTATATTGTTTGGCTATATGGAATCCAATTTTTCTACAATGTTAACTCATAATCGTGCTGCCCGCTAATGGGCGGCACAAATATGGCTTATGTCACAGAAAACATTAGTGTCTTAACAGTTCATGGCCAGCTTAGGGAGTTAGGTTAATTATATGACATACTGTGAAGTATCAAGGTAGGTTAATTATGCAGCTCGGTGCATAATTAACCTACCTTGATACCTCTGATGTCTCCAGGTTCTTATATTAAAATTTTCCAGTTCCATACTTTATTTAGAAATTTGGCAAAAACTCAGATGCTACTCGTAGGTATAACTGGGGGTGAAATGGGGGTGAAGAGGAGGAAGAGGTGTGCGGTAAAGGGGGTGAAAATAGAGGTATTTTACAGCGTTTTGATCGGGGAAGTTTACAAAACATAAATAATACTCATATTACATTACTACATAATATATAAACAATATTTAACAGCAGATTATGACTAAGTTAACAAGAAATGACTAAGATTACACTTAAACTGATTGTAATCAACTATAGTCATTTATCAGAGATAAGTTATTTACAAATATATACAAACTCCAGTTCCGCACAATCAACCAAAAGAAAATTCAGTTAAATTGCAATTTTCAGCTGATTTTATCATTAACATAGTCTGGGCTGTTGAGTGCTTCTATGAGACTTAAGAGTAGTGGGTTCTTTTGCCATTTTATTTGAACAAATCAAATATGTAGAATGTTTGTTTATTACTAGAATATATTCTTAAAGATATTCTTTTACTAGTAAAATTAATATTAATTTATAGGGTTAGTAAGCATTATGAGCCCCTGAAGTTTAATGAATTTGTTTAGTAAAATAATAATCTCAAATTCAGAAATGGGGAAGGATATAGAATAGGCCCACCAGTGGCCATGGATAAAACCACTGAACACCAGTAGTTGGTTGCGGGTTCACACCTCAATGGGCTGGCCATGTTTTATGGATTTTCTTCAAGTGTACAATACCTAAATGGAGCCAATTTCTCATGGAAAATTCTCCCGGCAGAGGCCCGTGTTTTGCATTGATATCAAACCAAATTAACAATATAGAATTCCTTACAGAAATATAGCACTAATGAAGTTATCTTAATTAAAATAAATTTGAATTTAAAATATTTAAGTAACAAAAGGAAATGATTTCTCTAGATTATGGTGCAAGTGTTTTCTAGATCATTTTGAAGAACAGTAGATGAATATGGAGAAACACTGAAAGGTCATACATAAGAATAGAGTTATCGAGAGAAAAAAAATTCACTCTCCATCAGTTAAGATAAATTGGGTCAAAACAGATTGTCTACCGCAGATATAATTAAACAAAGTGGCGACAGTATCATAAGAAATGCTGCTTCGCTACACACCTGATACTATCTTTCTCAATAACAAAAGTCATTTTTACGGCAGATAAAAGGTAAAATATAATTCCAAAACTTTAAAAAATGATAATGATATCTCTAAATCTGTGTTGTTAATTATCAAGATATGTTAAATATCAGTAGAATTTATAAAATTAGAATTCTTAGATGTACTTTGTGCATCATCATTTGCAGTAATTAAGCAGGAGAGTGGATATTTAAGAAAATTAGCTTGTAAGATGAGTTGTTATGCCATTAATTATGCAACTAGATAACATTTAAACACAAAAGAATTAATGTTTAAAAGGATCTAAGATGCTTAATCATTAAAAGTTTAAGAGTCAAATGGTTAATTTTAAAGTGGTTTTATACTTGAAAATATTTATAAAAACTTACAATTATGGTTATCCAATTGCTGGTAATTGGTTTGAGATTCACTTGAATGTAATGGCTTGGAGTGGTGGTGGAATTGGTGTGGTTGTAGAACTGCATTCCAAACTGCAAAGAAAAAAAAAAATGGAGAAATTGCACAAGTTTAGATGGCGTCTAAGTAAATAAATACACGTTTTAACGTCAATGAATTGTATTAGTTCAATTGTTATTTAAAGTATTGTGTAAGAGGACGTGACTCGCCTGTTGGTGCCAGAACAGGTCAAAAGATTGGAAATAGAGCAACTTTTGTACTAGCCTTAATTATATATGTAAATATTTCGAGTGAACTTATTTAGGTTGTGGGATTGTTAAATGCCGAAATTCTCAAGCGGCTTTTAGGAAAACCTTGAAAATTTGCCACCCGCTAGACAATTTAGAGGTTCACACTCCTCATAAATTATAGATATTTTTGGCATATTAATGACCTTACATGCAGAGCAACGTCCTGGTGTAGTTCACGGCGCATTGTACTTACTTATATTCTTGCTGTTTCGTTGATAAGGGTCTAGCAAATTCAATGTGTCCTCATCAAAACTTAGAAGATTAGCCACTCCATGGTTTGAAAGTATTTGTTTACATCCTGTTTAAAATAATTATAAAATTAATAATGCCATAAAAATTAGCTCATTATATTAAAAAAGAAACGCTTCTTTTACCTGCAACATAAGAATTTTTACAGTGTTGCTGGAGAAGATTTGAGAATATCTTGAGTAATTCTGTCACCTGTAAGTATAATTAAGATTTTTCAGGTTAAATAATTAATAGAATGGTTTATCTTTAATTGCGTGCATTTATATGACGAGAAACTGAATTAATTTGCATATTTCTACAGCTTTTTGGGGTCCTAAATATTAAATTTCTCTTAAATTTTATGTTCAAGCAAGATCAGAGAAAACTAGATTAGTTTGTGTTTCCACGTGTTAAAAATCGATTAGTTTCCATTTCCATGTGTTGAAAATCGATTAGTTTCTATTTCCACGTGTTTAAAACCGATTAATTTCAATTTCCACGTGTAAAAATCGATTAGTTTCCATTTCCACGTGTTGAAATGAAAAAATAAATATATATATGTATATATAATGCGCTGAAGGAACTGATTAATTTACATCTTTTTGCATTACATGCCCTAAATAAATCGATTAATTTATGACCATCCACGTGACACAGAAACCGATTAATTTACGATTTCGAGCATCCACGTGTTACGGAAATCGATTAATATTTGATTTCGAGCATCCACGTGTTAAAAAACTCGATTAATTAATTATTTTTATAGATTTTACGTTGTAGAACAAGGAAAAAGGCCACCTCGGGGCCGGATTTGCAGATAGCCAAACAAGGCTGCAGCTTGGGGCCTCATTTTTTTACGCGTATCTTTATATTCTAGAGGAGAAGGGCCTATTATGTGTTATATAGCTTAGGGCCACAATAATAATAAATGTCCAGCTCCGTCGCGTGTTTTCGTTAAAATGTACAGTACAAGACAAAACGAGTCAGGTTTAATATGTAATTTATAGCGCAAAATGAACTGGAAGGTTATTGTATTTGGCAACATTGTGATGCCACAATACACATTTAAACAATGGTAGAAGACCTAAAACATTATTTATAAACCAGATAACCTTACTTTAAACTGCAACCGATACCAATCTAAGAATCATAAGCTCCGATTTACTCCATTTATTAAGTAGAACTAATGAACTAAATATATGTATTTTCTGGGGAGTGGCATAGTGATCTATAACACTTAATTACTCGATTTTAAAGTAATTGCATAAGGTTAAAACATTATAAACACTTAAAAAACGATCAGAAACCGAGATAAAATTGTTTGGATCCAAAACTTCTTCCGAATTTTATCTATTTAAAAAAAAATGTATCAAGTCGTGCGTTAAGGACACTTAATACTGGTTAGATCTTTAAACTTGGTAACAATTGTGATGTTACAGATCCTGTTTTTATGCGGTTCACGTGTCCACACAACAACGCAATCGCTACACCTACGTTAGCCCTTTAAAAGGTAACGCTTTGATATCGCATTTTTGTGTCAGGTGGGGAGAAAAAAACACGTTTCCTTCTTTTAAAAAAAAACACTACTACCTCTGTTTCGTAGAAGAAAAGGGGGTTGATTATGAAGCTCCTAATTCCCCTAACTTAAGAGATACTTAGGAGCAGATCTTCGCTCGCTTCCTAAATTAAAAAGTTCGGTCTCGCTTAAGGGATGGACCAAAAATCAGTTAACCATTGTGAAGACTATACTGCTGTTGTATTCGAATACCTCACAACATAAATGTTCTTCCATTTACGGCCTGGAAAACGGATAAACAAACACAGTTAACTAAGTATTGGGTCACCCTTTATAAAGTTCAAATTAAGCTACATTTTGCACTCTTTTTTTGGTGGTTTAATATACTTGGTGTTTAGGAATTTTCGACGATCTTCGCCATTTGGGGTCGAGATAATTATGGAATTTTAGAGCTTAAAATTATTTCAAATTCGTTTAGATTTTTAAAAATAAAATTTAGTGTATTATCCAATTATTTTTTTCGACAAGAAAAGCTTATTTATGCCACCCGATGGAAGTAGTGTATTAAATCCACAATTAAGAAAAGTTAACGCACTAGAAGGGCCTTTTACCATTAATGTACCATTAAGGGATGGTGCCCAATGTTTTAATTAACTGTCCTAACCCATTACGTGTGCGAAAAATTCGTAAAAACTTAAAAGAAATTTCTTAAAATCCCCTTACCTTTTCATCATAAGTGAGGAGTTCCCAAATGGGGATGGCACTGGGACGAACCATAGCCAAGAGGCTGACGAACACGATCAAACGCAACATGCTCGCATAGCCACAACACAGCAAAAGAAACTGTCGATAGCGGTTCACCTCTTTCGACTATTCAGGGTTAAAATGACTGTAGAGCTTTACTGCCAAAGGGTGATTATCGGGTCAGAAACGAGAAACATTACGGGAGGGGGAGAGGAGTGGTAAGTGCACTTACGTCATCGCTAACTCCCCACCGTTTTTAACGTATGCCGCAATAATGGCTTTAAAAAATCAACACCCATCGCCGATTTAATGAAAATCCCCGTCTAGGGATGGTCTTCTTATTGTTACGAGCGTGTTTTGTTTTGTTAATTTTGTAATAACCACGAGGTGTGTTCGGACAATCGAAATTCGCTAGTGTTTGGTGAAGGATTTCTGGTGTTTCGGGTGTTAGTAAAAGCGCGTGATCGAACAAACAGACCGTTTTGCTAAGGTCACAGGCAACTTCCTGGTAGTAGTAGTACTTGTCCTCAGGCGACTCCGTTTTTCCGGTTTTGTTATTTCTAAAGAAATACAGTTTGTTTTCTCTATATCCATTAGTACAGTTCCGGAACCAAAGCATGCGAGGTCATACTTTAATCTATTTTCAAGGATTTTTTTTCGCCTAATGCGATTTAGTTAATGTATTGCCGGATAATCGAATAAACCTAAATCAGATTATTCAATTGTTTACGCGGGGTGGGAAAAAAAACACTTCGATTCGATTATTACGTTACAATTATCGATGGGCAATTGTGACGTAATAATCATCACTCAATTGTATTTATGACGCAACAGTCGTCCATATAATTACAAACTTAGGTGGCGCGACGGTGTCTCATCTTTCCTTTTTTAGTAATTTAAACGTTATTGTGACGTTATAATTAGAAAGAAATTGGCGTTTTAAATCTGTATTATTACGTCATAATACTTTAAAAATATGTATATTAATAATTTTTCTATAAATGTAAATTTCCGATAATGGAATTAAACTGTTTTTTTTTTTTACTGTTCTTAAAATAAACTCGTCACATTTTTTTCTGTGTACTTCCATAGAAAGAACTGCTCCAAATTTGATAAGTCTGATTTGTTTCCTTTGATAAAGGCTAAATTTGATATTTTTATAGCTCGTAGACCTTAATAAACGGCAATTTTTGTATATAGTTTCTAGTATTTTTCATATACATTTTATTAAATTAATTTCGTACGGTCAAGCACTAAGCGTGGCATCTTTGTTAGCGTGTTTATGAGATTTAAGCATATTTTATACCAATTCCCTTATATTAATCGTGTAATTAAGCATATAATTTTATATTTTCTGATAAGAGGGAAGTGTTTTACGTTGATTTTTATAAGTTCTCCTCCTATAAAACACCCGTATCTAAACACTATCCACTTCACGTGACACTCAATTTATTTATATTTTACTGAAAAAATATTAATAAAAGTGGATAATTTTGTGATTTTTAATGATAATCGAAGTTTAAATATTTAATTTTTTTAACAATTAAATGCTTTCTGAGCTGCAGAATAACGAAGAAATATGCGATAAGTTATGAGGGGTGATGGCAGAATTTGCCATTCAGTCATACGCGAATGGAATTAATGAAGCATAATATAGCCTAGAGTTGAAAAAAGTCTATTATTATAATAATAGAACGGTCTTAGATCATAGCTACTTACATTTAAGATGTACGAAACTGCAGGCAATTTTGTAAGTGAATGAACCGAACAGGGATAAAAAAATCGTATGAAATTCCTAGTTTATAGACAACTTAACATAGTTTTTTTTAAATGAATTATTGCGAGGAAAAGTCTGAAAAAATCGCCATGAAAATTAATAGTTTCTATTGATAAAGATCCGAAAATAATTAAGAGGTTTAAACACCGAATTTTCGAATTTTATATTAAAAATATTGCACTTACTTAACGAATAAATATGTAAATTTAAGAATTCGAATTGTAAATTAAATCAAAATTTGCAACTCAGTTAGACCTGTTAATGGAGGACGCAAAGAAGACCTGTTAAAGGAGGACTGAAATAGTACCATTTTGTAAAGGGAGTCACGTTTAAAGAGCTTCAAAAGGACTTATTTGTTTTTATTGTGTTTCTTTATATAGTCAAACCTCCTAACAACGGCCCTGAAGGCCATTGTTAGGAGGTTGATAGGAACACAAAAATGTCCGCCATTTGGAGGTTGTTTCGAATGCATTCCAAAAAGAAACGTTCCTGAAAAAAATGGCCACCGTTTACAGGTGGCCGTTATTGAAAGTTCAACCAGAAAAAACTTTATTTTTTATTGTGTACTAAATACTTTTTAGATAATAAAATTTTTTAAAATTGTTTTTTAATATATTGGTGCCCCAAAAACGTGTGGCTTGAACTTTTCTTGACCTCTGAGAGGCCTTTTAATTAGGATAATATTAATTGATTTTCATGTCATATTCAAAAGGTGGGGATTATGTAATTTGCGTATTTACGCTTTAATCTGGCTTTCATTTGTACTGTACGTTAGTTTTATTCCTTCATCTAAAGCTTAGTGCTGATCCTCCATATCTTGAACAAATGCTTGTCTCAAGCTCTGAGGGATGAGCTACATCATTTCGTGTTTGAATCTGTGTATATACACTCAGATGGCCTGCATTTCAAATACAGAAATTTCAAAATTTAGCCTATCACGTGTAAACATTATAATGGAAAGGATATAATTAATATTTTAGCTACTTTTAAAACCATCTGGTGGTATCTCATGCATAACTAAAGAGATTACAATCAGCCTTAAAGGCTGTTTCACGCAGCCATCAACTGCAATTCGCGATGCGATAAAAGCAGCGATTAATATGCGAAAATTAGCATATTTTTGTCACTTTGCGATCGATATGTTTATGATTGCGACTGAGACAAATTAATGGCGATTTATGGCAAACTTCTCGCAATCTCTGGCTATATGAAGCAGCTTTAAGGCGTCGTCCTATCGCTCTGGAGGATCTGGTCACATTGAATTAAGATTAGAAAAACCTGATGAACATTGTAGTACTTTTGTCGCGGGCTCACACGTCAGCAGCAGGCTGGCATGTGGAATTTTCCGGGGTTTCTTCACGTGTTACACTCTTCCCTGGGGGTACTCTCCTTGGTAGATCACCCATGTGTTGCATTGCCTTAAAGCATCAATTTAATCCACTCCTGAAGAATCCTGTTTCGAATCCGAGCGATCGAGAAGACCCTGAAATCTTTTCACGTGCGGTCTGGCCGAGATATGTGGAGCCCCTTTTCTCACTATCTTGTGTGTCTGGTTGAACCCATGATGGGTATAGAGAAAGGCTCTCTTAGTGCTCATAGGACGGAAGGAATTAATATAATTATTATTTTAACATAAAATCATAAGAGTTTGCATAGATTTAAGCACTTTTAATATGAAATACATTTAAAATAATTAATTAGAAACGTATTTAAATGCCATTTTAGACACCTGTTTTAAATCGTCGATTACGTAAAACACGTGGCTGATTCCAACATCTCTGAATAATACGTGATTTAAATATCAATTACAATAAAATATATATATATTTTTTATAGCTAAATTATCATTTAATTTAATTTAAATACACTCGAACTTCTAATAACGGCCACCTCCCAACAGCGGACACCACTATAAAACGGCCACTTTTTATTTTGGAGCAAAAGTGCATACACACTAACCTTCAAACAGAGGCCATTTTTTATGTCCCTGTCCGTGTACGTTGTTATGAGGTTCGACAATTAATTGTTTTTTGAGTCTATAAGCTCACAATACGTAAAAAAGTTAACAAATTTCTACATTTAGAACTTATTTAACAAGTTATAGAGCGCAAGTTCCTGTAAAAGCATGTGAAATTGCCAATTTTTCATGAATATTCTGTAAATATTCACATAATGACCATTAAAATGTCTTAATTAACGTTGTTTATTTCTATATTTTCGACTTTAATTGACTATAAAGTCGACATAGACAATAAAAATCGAAAGAAGCGATTCTAAAAATATTTTTAAGATAATGTATATAATTTTTGTTTTTTTTAAATAAATTTCTTCGAATTTTATAGTCGAAGTACTGAAAATAATAAATAGATCAGATAGGGATAAAACGAATGAGTAGGGGTGAAAGATAAAAGAATTAGGTCAAAATTTTCTAATACTTAACACTCCATTAAAAGCTAAATTTAAAAATATCAGGTCAAAATTTCCTCGCTTCCATATTACTAGTTTCTATGCAACTCTTGTACAACGAAGGGAAAATTTTATTACTTTCTCTATTAATTGCTCGAATTTCTAGGTAATTGTAGATTGAAAGACGATTATTCTTTAATGTATAAGGAAAAGTTTGGTTGTAGGCTGTAGAGTTGATCACGAAGTGAAATTCATGCGTAACTTTGAATGAAATTCAAGAGTAACTTTGAACGAAATTATGGGTAACTTTGAACGACATTTATAGGTAACTTTGAACGAAATTATGGGTAACTTTGAATGAAATTTATGGGTAACTTTGAATGAAATTATGGGTAACTTTGAACAAAATTTATGGGTAACTTTGAATGAAATTTGTGCGTAATTTGTGTATAAGGTTAATTTAATGCAGCAAAAGAATGAACATTTAATGATCATTTTGATAATTTAAGTACTATGAATAATGAATTTGGAAACATCGTGTAAAGATTTTTAATGTGTCACACGTTCTATTTTTTTGGCTAGTATATTGTTTGGTAAGAATTTTGACCACAGAAAAGCCATAAAACAAGATATAAATCACCTCAGGGTTTAGTATACATCACGATTTATTACATTAAAAACAAAAAAAAAATACTAATTACTTAATATATTAACTGTAAATAGAAATCAACTCCTTTCCATCCATTAGTTTTGGTTATTTAAAATTCGAAATATACACCAAACCTCGATATAGCGCCATCCCCGTACAGCGCCAATCAACGCCGGTGAACGGCTCTTCCTCATAGTTATAAAACAGTAGCATCCTTCGTTATATCCGAATTACCAAAGGTAGGATTTTATAAGGCAAAGGATCCACATTGCGAACTCTCGATTTAGTACCAATTTAGAAGGTGAACAAATGTGAGCGCTATATCGAGGTTTGAGTTACTGTACACCAATTCGTATGCTTACAAGAATATTTAGTTAATAACTCAGTTAATAGAAATTTGTGAACTGGAGCAAAGTTTCTTTCTACGGAATGGGAACCCCGTAATAATGGCAATCTAACAATACACCGAATGGATACCTACTACAATTAACTCATTGTTTTGAATGTAATTTTACTTATTAAATTAAATTTCGTGCTGTCATTCTCTGTTCTTTTCGCTTATTTCACGTGACAAACTTGACACAGATTCGAAATATACACAGGAGAGGAATTTCTGACAAAATTATCCTTTTTAAATTCAGAATTTGTGTGGAAAATTCTTTACTTTTTACTCAGCAGAAAGGAAATCTGAAGTGTTAATTTAGAGAAGCAATTATTTTTAATTGTCTGAGTGTTGTTTTCTTCCAGCTGCTAGAGTTTTAGGGTCACTTGCAACGTGTTGAAACCTTGTTACATGTCACGAACTTTAATATGGCAAATTAAATGTAGGTCTATCAATAACAGCACGTAGATTTATTTTATTTTTTTTATAATTTTCTAATGAATAATTCATAAATTCTACTTTCACATCTGTAAGTATGATTTCCTCTTGTAAAATTCAAATCCTACAATAATTTAATGGGGGTGCCATTGAAGAATTTTGACGAAATTTTGATAGAGGCGTGAAAAATTTACTCCGATATAACGTCCGAACTGTCTCCTCCTTCAGATCTTTTGCGATTTTCATGAGAATTTAAGTGAGGATCTGGAGGAGGTTGAAAATTTTCGACTTCTTTTAACAGATCTTCAAAGTAGCCACTTGTGTAGTATCTGAAAAAGAAATCAATTTTTTTTGTATTAAAATATAAAAATTGAGTCATTCTTTTAAGTAACTCACTGGATCACTTCGGGAGGAAAACAATAATTAATGGATCGTATGGCCTTGGCAGTTTCCGAACCCGGTTTCGCAGACAATTGTTGAACTCTCCTGAACGAGCCGGATGTAATAAATCTACTTCTAGCTTTACCATCTACTTTCAAGATCTAAAAGTTAAAAGGTAACGTTAATTTTAGAGATTTTACATACAAATTTCATATTTATAACTAAAATACTTTGATATATTGGTTTAATATCATGTTTAGAATGTCGTTAGGTGCATCGGCAAGGATTATATCCAAGGTTTCGAGATCCATGCATTGCTCCAGGACCATTTTTAAGGATTTCGTACACTGTAATGCAAAAATTGTTTTCAGTAAATAATAAAAAAGAATTCTAGCGAGTTGCGTAACTTTCCCGGCAAAAAAATATGTTTACCACTAACAGACATTAGCATGAAATCAAAATCACGTGTAACGCTACCTGTTAAGAAATTTAATTTAAAAAATAACTTCTATATTATTAATTACAAAATAGCAAAAAGGTAAAGTATGTTGGTAGAGGTGAGTTTCAGGGGATCTCAAAATGCCAAGGTTTGCAAAACACCCGGAGGTTGAAATTTGACACGATTTCAATACTTTCTTATGTTACATACATGACATCGGGGAAATTAATTGTAATTAATTTATTATACCACTTACTTTGGTCTTTACTTCGACGGGTGTATCCGATTTCAGTGCAAGAACTGCTAATAAAGTTACAGCATCTGCTTCACATAATGCTTCGGCGTGACTGGGACTATAACTGCCAAGATATCCCAAAGTCCATGCTGAAATTTCTCTGACTTCAGGATTTGTATCCGTATCCAGTGAAGTACAAAGTGCAAGCACTCCCTGTAAAGTAACATATTATGTAATGTGCGTATTTATGAATACACTAAATTATTTTGTTTTCGCGTAACCTGAGCAAACGCATTGTACGTCACTTTCTATGGATCTATCAGTATAAATGGGTGGTGAGAATGACACCCAATTCAAGTTGTTTATGATCAGTTATGGGGATTTAGATAGGGCTCGAACCTGGGTATTCCATGGCAGCAGATTTATGTCTTACCATCCTGAAGATATGTATCTTGTATATCATAAAAGAGAATAGGGCTCAGGATAGGACGTATATCCTTGAATCATGGAATACTGATAGTCGCGGATATGCGACTCACCAACGGATTGGCCACATGGGTATGCGGATTTCCTTCATATATCTAATACCTAGGAGGCCAGTATCCTATAAAAGTCCTTCCAGATGGCATTTCTCCCTTGACAGATCGCCCGTGTGTTCCGTTGCCATATCCTACTATAGATTTCTATCATAAAGCAATAATTTACTGTGATTGACAGTAAGTTATTGCATATACTGATGATGGTTAATTGCAAAATATCTAAATTTTACCTGCTCAAATATGACAGCATTAGCCATATCGTCATTCTTTGTAGCCAGATTGCCTAGAAACATCACACCAGGAATGCGATCTTCACATTGATGAGTCTGTATATATTCCACCATCTTTGCTATGCTACCCGCTTGTATCGTTCTCTGCGTCAACTATAACAGACATTAGACAGACAGGAAAATAGACATTCTGATTAACAAATTAGATAATATAAATTAATATACTTCATCGGTATGTTTGATACACTCCAGGAGATAGACTGCACAATTGCGGCGACATCCAGGATTTTCATGAGATAACTCTCTAATTGCAATCTCAATAGAGCGTGACTCGGTAGCTATTTTAACAGCTAATTCATCACTATGACGACTTAATTGGGTCAGTGTTGGTATAAGCAAACGCTATTGTTAAATTTAACACGTTAGTATTAACTTTAGCAACGTGGGAATACAAGAGGAACCAACCTTCAACTTAATATCTTCACAATCTAGTAAGCGATCAATTGCTGGCACCACATTGTGCAGCATTAGTAATTGACATAGAGGTTCTGAATGTTTAGAGATCTCATAAATGGCCGAGATTGCCACTCGGACAATACGCAAGTCGTATTCTGATAAGGAAATTATTAGCATCGGAATAAATCCAAGATCTTCAGATACTATACTCCATGCTAGATCTGTAAAAACGGACATTTCATAAATTGGTCTTAATTAAATCAACTCGTAATTAAGTTGATTTAACCTTCTGAGTGCTTGGCAATATTTGCTATGGTCCAAATTGCAGATTCTTTGATCAGTGGATCCGATTCTTTGATGCAAACTTTTATTGCTTCGAGGCCATCCTTTTCGATTATGGCTTCTGCTAATGTTTTATTGTGTTTAGCAATCGATCTTAGTACGAAAGCTGCAGAACTTTTATAAAGTTGCTCGTCAGTGGGTCTATCGCCGCATAAATTCGTCTGCAAAAATATTATTCACATATTTCAATGAATAAATTCAGTTTAAATCTGACCAAACTTACATTTTCTTTTCTGAGTCTGTCTATCAGAAGAGGCAACAGGTTCCTCTTTACAATTTCTTCTGCAATTTTTATATTGTTGGAGGACAATCTTCCTAAAGCTAAAAGAGCAGTTCGCTGAACTGCAGGTACCACATCGAATATTAAGGAGCATAATAACGGTACTGCCCCTAAAATGAATTCGTAAGTTGAATAAATTTATACGATGGCTTCTTTTCGAAAATCGTGCTTACCTCCGGTTTTTAGCGCTTCGTTGGCTGTTGGCTTGGATGCAAGATCAGCAACTGATTGAGCAAATTGCAAACGAGCCTTCTGATATGTTTCGAATACTGAAATGGCATAAAATAATTAAAAATTATTTTCCTTATAAATAGAGCCTATATCAAATTCAACCACCGGATAGTCGAGTTAAGGAGCCAGCCCATTGTTCTGGAAAACCCCGAATCTAATCCGATCAGATAAATAAATTTCTCTGGAATTTTTCGGTATGGTCTGTTCCGGATATATCGGGCTCAATCTCTTACCATCAGTCCTCCTATTGTGGCCAAACTCACGATGGCTATGATTAATAGGCCCTCTTAATGCTCACGAGGCAAAAATAGTCAATTTTTTTTTGTTTTTTCATTATTTTCTCTTGTTAGGCCTTTGTACATGCTCACTACAGTTTGGTCATGGCTATATTTGGATATCTTAAGGATGAGGACGAGGCCCAACATATACAAGTCAACCCACACATGACATTTTCTGGGCCTCCAACTCGAACTCGAGTTCCCAGACTGTCATGCTGTAATCTTTGCCATCTTGGCAACCTGGTCAAATTATGTTAATTTAAATTTAACTTTCCCAAATCTATGAAATTCGACCTACCAGGTGACACCTGTTGAAGGCCGGACCCAGTATCAAATGCTATTTCTTCTGTTTCCATTGGCTCTTTGACAAAACAAAATCAATTCTGTCCTTCTGTAATTCCTTCTGTAATTATCATTTAACAACAACAACAATAATAATAATATGAGTTTTAATTATTGTTTTATTGAATTTATTGGCAATTGTTAAATTAATTATAATTATTAAAAGCAAACATTTTCAACAAATACAGATGAGATTAATTAATGCGATAAGCAACGCAATATATGGCGATCTGTAAAGGGGATACCTTCGGGAGGACATTCCAAAGGAAAATTCACTATTTATGGATTTTCTAAACATATAATTGTATAAATGGTCCTTTTTAAGGCACATAAACACACATACAAAAGACTTTTTAAAAGATTTTTATATTCTTTTTTATAAGAAAATAATGGCTGTACGCTACGTGCTTAGTCACGTAAAACACGAATAGCGAGAACGTGAAAAGTTTAAAACAATAGGAAGCAAGTACTACAGTACTTGCATATTCTTAGGAACTGTTCTTGATTTAAAAATGTTATCGTGCTTTAGAATAAAATGCATTAAATTTGTTATCTATAATTAAAAAATAAGCCTTATTTTAAGTTTTTAAGAAAATTTAATCTGTATTTAAACTTGCGAAATATTTCTAAATTGAAGGCCTTCCAACAGATTGTGAAGTTTACAGATTCGAATGACTTAACTGGTTTTTTTTATGACAATTCAGGCCTGCAGAATTAAGAAGGCCGTTTTTATTATGCTTTTTATGAATTAGGCCAGGCCTTCAATGAAGTCCGACATATCCCAGACAGATTACAGATGAAAATTTTCTGGGGCGACCGGGATCGAACCCGGACGGATCGAAAATCTCAGGAATTTCACGAGATTGGTCTGTTCAGAATATATAGGATCTCGATCCACCACCATCCGGTGTAAAGCAATTGCACGCGTACTAAACATAGTATTTTTTGCAAATATATGCAACTCGGCAAGGCCAATGATAACGCCAGAATTTTGAAATTATTACGGGCTGAGTTATTAGAGATGAAAGTTCTCCATGTAAAGTCTATGGGCCGATTGCCGATTGTAAGTGGTCGCGTGTTACATGTGAATCGAGTTTCCGATTGCTATCAATTGACATAGATCTAGACGACAGTCGTGCACGACCTGCGGTTGTATATTTACGTGTTTTAACCGGTTGCTGGCGTTGGTAATCATCTATAGGTGTTTTAAATGTTTTTTTGACGTTTCTTCAACGTCATAACTGACTATTATGACGTTGAACATAAATGACGTTTTTTCCGGTACCTGTGGATTTTAAACTGCTTTAGACAGAACGTTAGAAGCAGAATCGTTAACTACACTACTCCCACAGCTTCCAATAGCTGCAATGTTTCGAAAGTTGGGCAATAAATATTCCTGCCACTTAGCGCGCTGTAATCGCTTTGCGGCGGAAGTTTAGCTTGAGCACGTTCAGAGTCAGCTGTAAACATTTGAAATTCTTTTTTTTAAATATATATTTTTTTCACTTTTAACTCATATATTGTGTTTGTCCCTTTTAAAGGATTATAAATGATAGTTTAATTTAGTTATAGTCTACCTAATGAAATTAAAGAAATCTAGTATGAAGGATTAGACTTTAATGGGCCTAGCCAATGGGACATAATAGACGTAATATGAAAATTAGATTTAATATGTAACAATGCAAAATTAGTAAACAAAGAACTATATATCTCGGAAATAAAAGGGAAACGAAGGATTAGAGAAAAATAATAGAGAGAAATAAGTCAATTTATACTAAATACCGAGAGTAGTAGAACACCAAAATCATAAACATTCAACTAAAAACACATAAAGAAGGTGAAAAAGTAAGACCCATTGTTGACTTTAAATACTCTGTCTTGTATAATTTGAAAAATTTAAAAAAAAAAAATGTAGTTTGTGTTCAGGTAAATTTCATAAAAAAAAGAACAAATAATACTTTATACAGTATAAGGAATTATACTGCAATTATGTAGCATTTTCTAATTTATTTTCGAAATTGCAAAGCTGTACTTATTAAAGAAAACAATGCCGAGTAGTTTCTGAAATTGGCTGTGAGTGAGAGGAAATTTTATTCTTGAACCCTATGATTTCTCTAACTATCCTAAAGTACATTTTCCAAAATAATATTATCTAGCCAATATGGCGTTTGCCCGAGCGGTCAAGGTTGCAGTCTACAGCTCTAGAGGACACGTGATCGAATCCAGACGAGTCGAAAATTCCCAGGTATTTTTCGGGGGGTGGTCCGAACGGATATGTCGGCCCCGTCCCTCACCACCCGACCGTTCCATTGTGGGCCTAGCCGAACCCATAATGGGCATGCTGAAAGAGACCCTTTTAGTGCCCACAGGGCGGAAAGAGTTAAAGAAAAAGAGAAACAATATTTCCTGGTAAAGACGCTTGTGGCGCGTACAAGGTGCAGATAGAAAAAAATGAAAATAGCAGTTAAAAATTAAACACGTATTACGAGAAAATTTGTTTCGAATTAATTTTAATAGAATAATGCTGGCAATTAATTTATAAGTTGCTAATAAATTACGACATTATTGAGAATTTTAGCAAAAGATTTTTCGAAGCAATCAAGACGTAATTCGCAGGTGTCGCTGCTAGGCGGTCGTATTTTCGCGGGAAAGTCGTCCATGTTGAGAAGTTCTCGTGAAAGTGGTGAGTTTGTAATTTTTTAGACTTCTATCTTTTTTAATTTTTTAAAGTTTATTTTAAGAACTGCTATCGTGCATAAGGTGAAATGATTCCCTATTAACTTTTGAGTCTTAAAATGATTTCTAAAGTTTGCAATTTTGAAGTTTTGTACACTGATCAAATGTTTTAATGCAGAAACTTTGATAATGTGGACACCTGAATTTATGATAGCACAGAGTTGCAGTTAAGTGGAATTTATATAAAAATAATCGAATCAATATTGTTCACAGGTTCTGTTTATTGTAGGAATTATCAAAGTACGTTAACAGGTACTTCCCGGTTAGCTGGACGCCATTAAACTTCCTATTATTATTAGCAAATATGAACTTTTATTTTGCAATTGTGGTTAATGTTATCTATGGTGCCAAAATGGCGGAATTTCCTGTAATCACGATTCGGTGAAGACGTTGACAGAGGGAGCTCCCTAATAACACGCGGGACGAAATATGCAAATTTGTTGAACGCGCCGTGAAAAGTGGCTGTACGTAAATATGCAAATTAATAGATATGACGTATTAGATGACTTTCGCGTGGAAATATGCAAATCAATTCATAGTGCGACGTTTGCAAAGGTTTGTCGTTGCATGTACTCTGCAATAGCTTTTTTACCTTTTTGTTTAATAGTAACATGGCGTTAATAAGTTTTGTAGACATCAGTTCTGACAACTTTTGGTCCGGTTTTTACTAATTTTATCAGTTAATGGAATTAGGTTTGGAACCAAGTATAGATAATGTGTTTATATTTGCTGTAAAGTTAGGATTACAACCTATCGATGGTGTGTGCAGTTTATGTTCAAAAACTTGTAAAATATACTATCGAAGTGATAGAAAATCGTGTCTGTTAAGATGTAGCAATTACAGTAGAAAGTATTCTGCTTATGACGGAACCTTTAAGGGCAAATGTGGCAATATTTCGTGGGGTAAAATTTTGTCATTCATATGCCATTACCTTTGTTTGGAATGCATGTCAAGAAACTTGACTGTTGCTGCAGGTATTTTTAGAAAGGCAGGCATCGATTGGTCAAACAACATACGTTTAGTGATGCTTGTAGCTATGAATAACATGGCCTCATTTAAAATTGGAAGTCTTAATAAAACCATCAAATTAGATGAGACGGTAATATGCAAATGCAAAAAAGGTATATACTGAAATCTACAAAATGGGTTGTAAGAAGAATATGCAGGGAAGACAATAGTTGCTTCGAATAATAACAATCCACGAAAACCTTTTTTACGAGTGTTATGTCCGTAGTAAGTTCCACAAGTACTTTCGACCTCCACCGAGGTCTGCTTCAGGTGGTGACTGACCGTGTTTCGTCCTGACCGTCGTAACAATGTTGCCAATGATGTAAATAAATAAATGTGCACGTCGGGTTTCATCCCTCCGACTGACACTGTTCGAATTCTTCAAACAAATACTTCCACGCCTATGCGAGTGTTTCCCCATCCTTGAAGTTGATGCAGTTGCCCCCCGATAGCTTTATGAATCTCCCAGGCCTCCAGGTGACGGATGTGATCTGCTCGGAACGCTTGTCTGATAAGTCTGGTGTTCCGGAAGTCCGCCCTTATTTCAGGGTCGGTAACGTAGGTCGATAAGGCGGTGGTGTGTCTTTTATGTTTAATATCAGCTTGATGTTCACGTATTCATTTCTTTGTTGACCGGATGGTGGAGCCAATATAAACTAAGTCCCTGTTGAATCTGTCGTCCCTGATGGGAATGGAGTAAACACCTGGGACCCTGGTGAGATCTATCGCGTCCTTGGCGTTGCGCAGCAGGTCGTAAAGCGTGCTGGTTCTTAAGTACGCGATTTTGGTGCGGCTGTTGCTAGCGATCTTCCTATATAGGGGGTCTAAATGCTGGCTGAACTGGACGACCACGCGTTTAACGTTCCTATCTGGTTGTCGGTTGTTGTCCGGCGATGGTAGGGGGCAGTCACTGTGGCGAGGGGGACAGCGGGCGCATGCACGTGCTAAACCGCGGACCATGGCTTTACTGTAACCATGCTCAACGACAATTTTTTTATGCGACGGATCTCCAACCATGCATCGCGCACATGTGTGTGGTGAGTGAAGGCTCGTCTGGTAAGGGCACGGAAAGCCGCAATTTTGTAGACAAAGGGGTTGGAAGAGTTTGCGGGGATGAACAGCGGGAGCTGGTCAGGTTTATGGTAAAAATTAGGCTGTTGGAAGTCGTTTATCTTAATAGTTGCTTCATTTGTCAAGCAAGTGAACAACAGATCTGAAATCATGCTAAATTGGGTTGTGTCTAAATTTGTAAATTTTGGTAGTCTAGTTATAATCAATCATAGATGACATTGAAGGGATAGATATTGAACATAGAACAGTTAATAATTCTAAAAAACTTTGTAAACCCCAAAATGGGCAATCATACTTAAAACATTGAAAGGTTATGGAGTTATTTAAAAAATAAAAAAAAATTTGCCAAAACATTACATGAATGATCTGTCGGACTTATACATGTATTCCCTTGTGTATAAGAAGTTATGAAATTGCCAGCTAGAAACTCGGGAGAAAGATTCCAAATATTCGTAAAACACTTGAGTATGATATATCCAGGTACCAGAAGAATACCGAAATGGATAGAACCAGTGAGTGTTCCTGCTGCACCAGTTTCTAATATAAAAAAGAAGCAAAAACAGGAAAAAAAGGCCAACACAAGAAAGAAAATGACTAATAAGACAAAGAAAAGAACATCCACAGGTGCTGAGGAATCAACCTTGTTAGGGAAGAAATGTAGGAAAGAAGAAAAAAAAGGATCATAACGTGAGTAATAATTTCAATAATCTACTAGAATAAGTTATGTTAGTTTAGGATGCGTGGCTGCTCCGTTTGAACCATTGGTTATCGCACAGTCTAGAGAAGAGTTCAAAATTGCAACCAGAAATTCTGCCATTTTGGCACCATAGGTAACAATAACTGTAATTTTTTAATAAATCTAATTTTAAACATGAATTGAATAAATACAAAGAATTTTTTTAATAACTCTGGCGTATCAGTTAGGTGACATAAAGTTTGATATGTCACATAACATAGCTGAAAAGGCTCCATGTTTAGAATGTTTTCTTTTCCACATAAATTCGATCAGATAGGACTCTAAGTGATGACAAGAAGTACCGTGTTGTACTTTATTTCTCCATTTAGATATTCTCGACAATCTCATGATACTTTGTGTATGACATCTCGTTTTGGGATCGACAAAATTGAATTTATGATTGACCTGATAATGATAATATCTAGCTTCTAAATCTTTTGTACTGTACTCTTTCCAACAGTCTGAATATATAGTTGTTCCTTCGAACATGTGATTTTTTTACTTCCTTCAGTAAAGTTTTTGCTGAATGGTCTGGAACTGGAACGAGAAAACATTCTTTCGACTCTACATAAACTGCAAAACACCCACTGTTGTGGAAGTATGCAGTCAAGATTATGCTTCCTGTGCTTGTACATTGTTTCATCAATTTTGACAATTTTATTAACACTGCCAATCTTTAAATTACAACGATTTATTAGGGAACTAGTAGCCTGGGACGCTCCCTAGTGAGCTTTTAGCAGTATTACAAATTCCTATGAGGCATGTTTAATGCACTCAATATATGAAAGTTGTGTGTGCTTAATTTTTAAGTTTGATGCACTTAATATATATAAATGTATACAACTGTTCATCTTAGAAAGTAAACTTAAAAAATCAATATGCAAACAGTATTTAAAGTGAAGCTATTCTTTACTCAAAATTGTTCAATAGAATTAATATAATTAAAAAATCAAGTATAAATATATACAAATCTTCATGTTAAAAAGTAATGTTAACAGATCAATACACAGCAAACAGTATTTCTGTATTACAGACTGAAGATAATCTTTAGCTGTATTCTGTATTCCATCATTTATCCTATCATAAAACTTCTGTATACACAACATTTTTAGTAAAAAAAAGTATTATTATTTGGAATCAATTTGCCTTGTTCTGATGTTTTCAGAATTTTGATTTTGACATCAGTTGCTCTCCTTACTCTGGAAAAAGCAACGTAAAGTTGTCCATGTCCAAAAACAGGTTCAGACAAAAAAATTCCAACCCTGTCAAGAGTCTGTCCTTGTGACTTATTGATGGTCATTGCAAACGAAGCCTTGACTGGAAACTGTCGTCGTTTCAGGGTAAATGGGTAATCAGAACCATTATTTGTTAAATCAGTTCATGATATCAGATTATATCTGTCTCGATCCGGACCCAGTAAGCACTTCGGCTTCAATGACATGATCTCTTAAACTCATCACAACTAATTGGGTTCCATTACATCAGGGGTGGCCAAACCGTGGCGCATGCGCCAAACTTGGCGCATTGGACGATTACAAGTGGCGCTTTAGTCAGTTCTGAGCAACATTGTCAGATTTGGCTTCTTTGCAATTAAGAATATTACATAGAAAATTAATTTTTTATAGTCTGTCTTGGCAAGTTCATTTGTTGCACAATTTGTTGCAATCAACTTTACAGATAAAATGAGTGTTCTCCACATAGTAAATTACAGTGTATGCATGTATGTTTATTTTCGATCAGTGCATAGGCGTCTAAATGACAGTGCTACCGTCCGGACAGTCCGCGAGTCGGTTGGACTGCTACACCTGTTGACTTTTTTTTTTTTTTTTTCTTTTTTCTTTTGCTTCTACGATTCACGATACATTCGCAATCGTGTATGCCACTAATGTCAAACTGGACTATTTTGTATGGGTAACTACACCACCACCGCATTTTTTATTAATTTTTTTTTCACACAACTGAATTTTGATCTTTTAAATTGAAATACCTGATTAAAGGGTGGCCGAAATTTTTCTCCGCCCCGGGCGGCTAACACCCACGGTACGCCACTGCGCATCTGAACTCGTCTATCAAAAAATTGGCGCATGGTATGCAAAAGGTTGGCCACCCCTGCATTACATAATTCCCTTTTTGTGTTGAGGTTCCTCAGCAGCATTATGATGGTGCCAACCTTCAAGTGGAGTTCATGAGGGGGTAATCCCAATGCACGTACACTGTTCAGGTACTCTATAGGGTAATTTAATCGTTCCTGGTGATCATCAGTTTGTATCTCATCGTAGCTGTAATAAGTTTTTTCCCCTTGCTCATGTAAAAGTTTCAAAACTTCGTCATTGATTCTGTCGATGTCAGCATTTTTAGGGCAAAGTATAGCTCTATTTTTAATGGTTGGTATCATATCAGGAGTTATTTGCTCACCAAATACCTCCTTCACCAAATCGCCTTCACAAAGAAATTCAGGGGGAACCTCGATAGTGTGTTCAAGTTCAAGAAAATTCCCCAATGTGCCGTTTCCCAATTTCAACAGCCATTCACTATATTTAGGGTCCTGTGATCTCATATTGGTACTCAATGCGAGTTTCTTAAAGAAGCTCCAAGAGTCACAATACTTAAGTCCAGACTGGACAATCGCTGGTCGCATTGTGTGCGGGAGAATGTTTAAGCATTGCCGAAAGTCAATATTACCTTCCCACCAAATGAAATTTGATGTCCAGTTACCTCTCTTAGAATTCTGTCAATGGCATTCATAACATGGCTCAATGCCATGGTGCATTCATCTACGATAAGCAACTTTGCTAATCTAACATCTCTTCCATCTTTCGACTCCAAACTCAGGTTTGAAATGGATGTCTCATTGACTTCTAAAGGTAACTTAAACAGAGAATGGTAGGTTTTACCTCCACTGAGCAAGTTTGAAACAATCCTGGAACGTTTTTCCCAGAATGCTCATAAGCTCCTCTGTTGTTTTTTTTTTTCTTTCTCTGGAATGGTGGCAAATCTTTTTCCTTTGAGCATGTTTTTTAGCTTGGGGAACAGGAGAAAGTCGAATGGGGCCAGGTCAGGTAAGTAGGGTGGGTGGAGAAGCACAGTGGTCTTGTTTTTGACCAAAAACTCGTGAGTTCTGAAGGAGGAATGAGCTGGCGTGTTGTTGTGGTGAAAAAACCATTGCCACTCCTCCAAAGTTTGGGCCGTTTTTGCCTGATTCTGTTTCTTAGGTGTTTCATAACCCTCAGGTAGTACTCCGTGTTGACTGTCTGGCATATAGGTAGGTATTTGTGATGCATAACCCCCTTTGTATTGAAAAAAACAGTCAACATCACCTTAACATTTGAGCGAACTTGTCGAGCTTTTTTGGGGCACGGAGATGTTTCACCCACCCATTGTGAAGATTGCAATTTTATTTTGATGTCACATCCATAAACCCAAGATTCATCCTGTGTTATGATCCTGGACAAGGTTTCATCCTCTTCACCTTGATCAAACAGTTCCTGACAGACTTGAACTCAATGTTGTTTCTGGTCTGCTGTCATCAGGTGAGGCGCGAATTTGGAGCAACTCAATACATCCTCAATTTTTCATGCAGGATTTCGTAGCATGAACCAATCGAAATGCCATACTCTTCTGCAAAATCCGACAGTCAAACGTCGATTAGCACAAACGAGAACTTTTTTGATGTGGTGTCGTCAGTTGATGTTGATGGTCATCTGGAATGCTTGTCGTCTTCCACTGATTACTGTTCCTTTTTGAACTGGGTAAACCACTCATAACATGCGGTACATTTTATTCCTCACCATAAGCCTTGGTAATCAACTCAAATGTTTCTGTGAAGCATTTCCCGAGTTTCACACTGAATTTCACAGAACAATGCTGCTCCTTCAAACAACTCATTTCAGCGGATCTGATTTTTTGCTGAACCTCACAAACACCACTTGACATAAACGGTTGTAACTAATCACCAAAACAACATATTAACAAATGGGTTGAAACATGTTACTTGGAAGGTTTATGTGGACACAATACCTCCAAGCAGTTTAAAAAAATAACCAACTGGAGGCGTACTATTCAAAATGTTCGGGAACTTTTTGAACAACCCACATAACTGTTTCAGTCCACAGTAGTACATTGATTTAGCCCAAATTGCATTTGACAAAATTCACAGACAGTTCAACGACCATAAATAGATGAAACGCATAGCATTTAAAAACGATATGCAAAATCCTACAAACCAGTCATCGGTTCTAATTTTTCTTTTCATGACACGTTCTTATGTGACATCGCCATTTTGGACTTACCATATATTACTACTCTTCTCACCAATGTGAAAAACTTTGCATATTCATGTGAACTTGATGACATAAAATTGATGATCTCACATTGTCAGATTTATAAAAATANTATGAAGGGATGATGTTAACTTTACTACAACACTTCCACCAAGACCAAACTTTTATTTCCTAGAATCACCGTGTCTTTTTTCTTGGTAAATTATAAATTCGTATATGTATCCTGACATATCAGCACGACACCAGAGTTTGTAACCTCTCTTCACAGGTTTCATTGGATTGTATTGCTTGAGGGATGAACGGCCTTTGAATTTAACCATGCTTTCATCTATACTCTGAAATTGATCTGGTAGTCGGAATTTTTTGAAGTTTTTATTCATTACAGTGATCAGTGGTCGTATCTTATATAGTTTGTCCTTGTTATCTGAAGGAATGGATAAGTTATCATTTACGTGTAAGTTTGATAAAATTTGTTTATACCTTTCTCTTGCCATCACTTCTCGAACAATGGGAATGCATAAATCTATATCACTACACCAATAATGATGAGTTTGGGGTAAACAATGATATCCAAAAAGGAATTGCAGTCCTAGAAATCCATACATTTCTTCATCTCTAATTGTCTTAATATTTATTTGTTTTTGTTGGCTGTATAGATTGCTTTGAAATACAATATTGCTTATTGTACTTTCTCCTAAAACTGTCAGGAAAACATTTGTTGGTGTAGTCTTATTTTTAAAAAACTGATTTAATGTTCCCTTCGTTAATGAAAAAGAAGGAACAGTACTTACTTTTTCACGTTTTCTAAAATTCCGTTTTATTGATGGATTACTAGTAACTTCTTCCTCATCAGAATCATCATCGTCAGATTCTTCACTAAATAAAATAAAAGCTATGTCAGTTTGTGGTGATATTTGATCACATTCATTCTCTGATTCATCATCAGTACTGTCTTCTACAGGTGTATCAATATCAGATGGAAATTCTTCCAATAAAAGATCATCTATTTCTTCATCTATAAGTCTTCTATCCATATTAACTATTAAAATGTTAAATATATTCATCAATTTATAAATGACGTACAAAAAACAAATTGATAATATTTACAAAAAAAAGCCTTATAGGCTTGATGGGACTTATAAGTCCCAAACATATTTTGACCTCTCACAGATTAAATATAATAAATTCCAAAAATATAATATATTAAAATCAAACTACACATATTTAAAATATATAAAAAAAAAATACAATAACAAGTACCTTCAAAATAATAAGTAGAATTAAACAAGAAAGCAAGCAATACAAGCTACTACCATTCAAACTACAAAATTTCTCTGAACAAAGTAAAACTTGTTTCTATAAAACTAAAACACAGACAGTTTCAAGGTTGCTACCCCCTACTAAAAAAAGACACATCATACAATGGAAACCTGCAAGTTCCAGTAAGCTTTAATGTATACAATATAAAATAAAAAATTTCAAAGATAGTGGGACTAGAAAGTTCCGTCAGGCTATAAAGGGTTAAGATAGAGCTCACATTCTGTCTCCAATAATTCATCATCATCCGGGTAACATTCTGAAAAACTGACAAGGATGAAATTGTGGGATGATATTAGATTCCTTGAAATCCTGGTCGACTTTTGTCTATTTGGCTTCCCCTTTCAGTTGATATTGGGTAATTTAGGAGTCTTTGATCTTTTGAACGAAGAATTTGAAAAGCATGATTCTACTTGAAGACTATATAAATACAGCTGAGTACTGAAATCCTGTTGACTGTGCCAATTTGTAATGTCACCAAAAGTTATGAATACAATATTTGAACTAAAAGAAAAGTGCTATCAAGAGCAGATGAATTTTATGTTCGTTCCACATGTCCATGGTGAAAGATGAGAACCTTTCTCACCTGTATTGGGGATACAGGTGACTAACCTATTTCTTAACCCAGACCAACCTATTTCTTTCCCTTCACCCTGAGTTCTCAGAATTTCTGACAAGCACAGATGTGGAGTTAATGGGGAGGGGATCTAATGAGTAGCAGATTTTAAACTCTGCTTACAATTCTTAAAATTGCTGTGTGCTCATAATAATTCCATTTATAGGTATTTGTTTCAAATTTTAATGTTTTTATTGTGCTTTTATCAATTTCACATCCATATAGATTGCAGTGTTTGGCAACAGCAGAGTTTTCTAAATATGATGGCATTAATATGTTCTTTTATATGAAAATTAACCTTTGTCACATGCAACATGGAGATAGATATTGTAAAAAGCTTCCACATTCTTACAGACATCATAATTTCGTTAAAAGGTTCTGTTGTGAATATTAACCTTTTTTCCCCGAAAACCATGCCTTCTAGTTTACATTTATTTTGTAAAACAACCCAGGGCTATATAGGTCAGTCAGGCGATATTATTTTAAAAATTCACCAAATATGAAATTATCATTATATTTATACAAAAAAAAATCACATGTCTATTAATATCTTTAGTTTGAAATATGATATTTTTCAATACATTTTATTAGAAAATTTAAAAGAGGGAAATAAACCATAACAGACATTTAAATGTGGAAATTTGTAATATTTTGACAAAATTAACATTGTATGGTTATCTAGTTTGTTTCTGGCACTAAGCCTGAACAATGTCAAATATTGTTTTGTACGATTTTACATGTACAATTTTTTGTTCTAAAATTATTACACATTATATCAAACATTTGTTTATATAATGTGTGAGTGTGATAATATTAACATTCAAGCAAACTAAGCTAAATAAAGACATCTATCACCTGTCCGTAAACGTACTTTACATAATCCGGTTAGATTTTTGACGTATAAAAGCTAACACCACATGGTCATNAAAATCTTTGCTTCAACATCATTTTGCAAATCAATCATAATTTCTTGTATTGAGGAAGGTATTGTATTTACATCCACGTTAAAAGGATCTATTACCCAGTTTGGTATTATTAACTGTTCTACGTCTTTAAAGCGAATATTCATATAATTTTTTATATTTTCAATATGTGTGCAATATATTTCTAAATCAGTATCCCCAATATATTTTGCACTTATTGTATTTAAACAAGAAAATAGAGAAAATTCTCTACGAGCCATATTATTTTTGTAGAGAGTTAGTTTGTTTAAGAAGGATGTTACGGAACTCTTAACTTTGATGAGATTGATATTGTTGCCTTGCATTTTTGTCAAAAATTCGTTAAACTTTTCATATATGTCTGATAAATAAGCATCATCATTACGTAATACTTCAACATTAAATGTGATTTCATATTTAATTGTATGTAGAAATTCAATGATAGTATCGAACAAATTAAAAAATCTTTTGAGACAATTACCCTTAGATAGCCATCTAACTTCTGTATGAAGTAACAAACGTTCATATTCTTCATCGTTATCATGACATAATTCTCGAAACAAACGGTCATTTAAAGAATGTGCTTTGATTTTATTAATTAAAGATATTGCCAAATTCATTGATTGATACAACCTATCACTGAGTCGTTTGGCTAGTAAGTGTTGTCGATGTAAAATTCAATGTATACGGAAAATTTTAGAATTTTCTGCTTTCAATAAGATAATAAATCCACGCTGTCTACCTATCATTGCTGGAGCTCCATCAGTAGCACAAGCAAGAATGTTAGAAATTGGTATATTATTCTCATCAAGAAATGTTTTCACAACATTAAAAATAGACAAACCTTTAGTATCAGTAGTTAAAGATTTTGCAAATAACATTTCCTCAATGATTTTGTCATTTTTAATGTATCGCACATATGCCAGTAATATTGCTTCATTATTGCGAACTATACTTTCATCCAATTGTAACGTAAATTCTGTGTTTTGAAGATCTTCACAAAGCTGTTCTTCAACGTCATTAGCCATCTCATCAATTCGTCTGGAAACAGTATCGTTGCTTAAAGGAATGGAAGAAATTATACTGTTTGGATTTAATGTAGTCATATTGCTTAAAATTTCTTGAACAGCTGGAATTATTAATTTTTCCTTGATATTATGAGGCTTGTCACATTTTGCTATTAACAATGAAATTTTGTAATAATAATAATGAAGTCTTCAGTATGGGAATCAGTCAGGACAGAATGTTGTTTAGTCTTCGTTAACTTTAAGTATGAAAATGCCAATTCCCATAGGTATGTAGATCCGAAACAAGAATAAATATATTCGCTACATTTGATGATACTGGGATATTTTTCTCGGTTGACGTATTTCCAAAAATCTTCTTCAAATTTTCTGGCTTGTAAGATTAAATCAGTTTGTAAAATTATAATTTCATTTTCTAATGCCTTTTGCTTCATATGATATATGTCTGAAATTTTTTGGTTAATGCGTTTCACACTTAAATCTTTTTTAAAAGGAAAAGATATAAATTCCACAATTTTTTTAATTTTTTCAAAATCTTGGAATCTTACCTCAAAATCTTCAATTACTTTTTGGATTTCCGTCACGTATTTGTCGATCTTATAATTAATATTTTTATGTTTTTGTATGTTATCCGCCATATTTGGAAAATGATTCAGATTATTTTGTTGCAAATCTTCTATTAGTAAAATAAATTTTGTTTTATATGCATCTATGCAGCTGATCATATCAATTACTGTTTTATTTTTACCTTGTAATTCTAAATTTAAATGACTTAATATTGAAGTAAAATCGGTAAGAAATGCTAAATCACTAAGCCAAGTTTCATCATTTAAATTTTCACATTTTCCATCTTGTTGGTGAAGAAAATTATTATTTCAGGCAATAAATCACGAAATCGTTGCAGAAATTTACCTCTGCTTAGTCATCTAACATCGGTATGTAGTAATAATTCAGGTTGGCCTTCATCAAGCTGCAGTTGAAAGAGATGCCGTTTGAGAGAACTTCCTCGAATTGAATTTACAATTTTAAACGCTATGTCCATTACCTCTTTTGTGTTTAGTCTCTTGCTGGCTAACACTTGCTGGTGAATTATGCAGTGGTAGCTCAAAAAGGCTGGGAATTCATCTTCATTTTGACATAGGGCTATAAATCCATTTATGCGACCTATCATTGCAGCTGCGCCATCCGTTGTTATTGAAACTAATTTAAAAAGTGGTACTTTCAAATCCTTGAGCAAGTTTTTAAAGGCTTTGAATATATCTACCCCTCTAGTCCTTTCTTTCAAAAAAATCATACCCAACAATTCTTCTTTACATGTAAAATCTTTAAAAACTATACGAATGAAAACAAGTAATTGTGCTGTATCACTTATATCTGTCGATTCATCACATTGAAGGGAAAAACAAGAACATCTATTAATATCGTTATATAACTGTTCTTTTACATTTCCACTCATTTTCTCAATTCGTCGCATCACAGTGTTTTGAGACAGTTGTAGCTCTTGAATTGCAGCAATAATTTCACTCTTGTTCTTAAAATCGTTCAAAAGTAAGTAGATAGGTAAGAAAAGCCACAATTTAATTTAAAACATAAAGAAAAGGTACTTACATTTTAAACAGAAGAAAAATTGAAATTCAACGTTGTCACTTTTGGAAACCACCATTTTATTCTTCTTCTCTCTACTATATCTGGAACTACTCTCTCCATCCCTCTTCCCGCTTTTCTTTTTTCGGTTTTATGACCCTTTGTCTACATTTCTTATTTCCCTTTTACAACTGTTCGCAAATGGATTGCACATGGAACGACTAAACTGCAACTGAGGGAGGATGCGGAGGTCCGATATCACTACAGTTGCGTTGCGCGTTATGTCCACGTGTTGCGTTCCGTTACAAGTGTAACACATTAAGTCAAGACATCGCAAGCGATCGACCAAAATTGGCTTCGCGATCGACCGGTCGATCACGATCGACTTGTTGGCCACCCCTGTTATATAACATAACCGTGTTTTCGTATGTCTTGTTTACTCGATCTAGACCTGAGGAGGAATTGGACTACACCGAACAGTGCTTATTTTTGGATTACAGATACTAATTAACATTGTAATATATAAAAAAAACCTAAACTACGCTACTCAC